CCCCCCAAATAAAAAAAAGAGAGATCGGAGAGATGTAAGATTTTAAAACAAAGTGCAGAACATCAGTTATATTCATGCACTAAATACAATAGTAATTACAAATTGCTAATTTCTTTTTGCATATCTATCTAAAATAAGAAAAAAAAAGTATTTTTGAGACATTTTGACTTTCATTCCTTCTGTTGGAGAGAATAGTTGCCTTCTTAGAGTCGTTCTGTTTGATTCATTGTGATTACAGTTGTTATTTTCATTTTTGTAGTCTTGGAACTTGTGTCTCTCAATCCAATACCATATCACTGAACTTACTTATCTTTATTTGTTGTTCTTTGTGCTGTGTGGCTGTTGTCACAGTGCTTTTTGGGGGAACAATTATTTTCTGTGTAGTCAGATCTGTTTTTTTCTTTTTTCACAGGAGCTTCCTCAAGAGGCGAAAAGATTTGCTCGAATTGACAAAGGCTGGACAAAGATGATGAAGCGAGCCTTTGACACAAGGAATGTTTTGCAGGTGATTTTTTTTTTTTTTATATCTTAAAAAATCTCCTGTTTTTCTAAAAATATACAGTGATGATATGTTTCTGACAAGGATACTTTTTTAAAAGAAAGTTGACATACTTGTATTTGTTTAATTTAAGTGACACTTTAGTGTAAGAAAGTGGAAATAATCCTATTGTTTTCTTCAAATAAAGGAAATCCATCCTTTGACCTGCTATTGTTTTGCACTAAGTGAATGTTGGATTTGTTGAAAATGAACTAGCAAAATTTGAGGATTTGTGCTTTTTATGAAGTTGCTGCCTATTTTCTTCTTTAATCTAAATTATGTCTTTGTTTCTCATGCGTAAAATGGTCATACTGTGCGTAATGTCATTTTTGTGTGGAAGTTCGCATTGCGGGTAATTGGTCAGTGCACTTTTCAACCGCTTGTAAGAGCCCCATAACCCGCTCTGGTTTTTTTCCAGTGTTGTTATGGTGGTGAGGTACCCAAAGCTGTTGTGCTACGCCATATCCATGAGGAGCTTGAGATTTGCTTCAAGAGTCTCGTTGGCTACCTGGACAACAAGAGGAGAGCTTTCCCCAGATTTTATTTTGTGTCTGACCCAATACTCTTAGCCTTGCTGAGTCGACCGAACGACCTTGAGTCTGTCAGACCACATCTGAAGTAAGCACTGTCTTTGGTTTTGGTTGGGAGGTCCTTTTTAAAAAATATTTTTATTATTTATTAAAAGTCACCTGGACATGGCATTTGTGCTGCTAGATATGGTAACTATAATATTATAGTGTTTGTACTTATTATTTATAATGTCGAGTTTTTTGTCTCAGTTGATTTTTCCCTAATAGACCTTTAAGATGAGTAGAATTGGTTCAGATAAAAGTAAAACAACTATTTTTCCCATGTTTCTGCATTGGATTAAACATATATTTAAGAGAAATATAGTTTTCATCTATGATTCCTTCTCCTTCTCATGTATCAGGTCCATATTCAGTGCAATAGCTGACGTGAAGCTGGAGAAAGCAAACGAGCCTGAGGTGGACTACGAAGAGCATGAGAGTGACCTTCGTGGGGTCCCTTACAGCCGAGGCCTGACCCGCACACCTGGTCTGGGCAGTTCACCTCATGACAGAGCTCGGACGTCCAGTGCACTGTCCGCTCTTACTCGCAGTACGACACCCCCGAAAATTGACAAAAGACTTCATCAACATTACGTAAGTTTGCTGTTTATATTAAATGAATGTTTGTAATCTATGTTCTGTTTTGTTTTTATTTCTTGGTTCCGTTTGAAGGAAAAATTAAAATAAATAAGAAATGAGTGAGAACTGTATAAGCATTATGCATCATTATGACTATTATTATTATTATCATTACTATTATTATTATTATTATTATTATTATTATTAAATAAGACTTCAACCACTATGACATCCCAACTCTTTGGCTAAAGCAGCACCAAACATAGATAATCGGTGCCTTTATAACTAAATTGTCAATGGTTAAGATGAAATCTTAACTCATATCCACTCACATCATCATCCCATCCCATCAAATCTCAGTTTGTCTCATTGCATTCCTTCCCAACCCATCCCATATCTCTCTTTTCATCTATCTCATAGAACCCCATCTTATTTTTTCTCATATCCTGTTCAGTCTGAAATCATATAATTACTCCCGATTCGTACTTCTCTCGTCAGTTCAATTTCGAAGGAAATTTGTTAATATTTCCTCTCTCATTTCATCTCACATTATAAAATCTTTTGACCTTATCTCAGAATGATACTTTTCAATATCTGCGACAGAATATCAATCCGAGTGTGATGCAACATGGCCCCACTATGCTTCCCTCTGAGGGTCTGGTAGACGATGTCATCGTCATGGACGCCACTGCCGTACACAGCGCCGATGGGGAAGTTCTCTCCCTCATAGACAAGGTGCGTCTACACGTGGAGTCTTTAATCGAAAAAACCCTTTTATTATGTGAAAAGATGATCCTCATATGAGTATGCAAAAGTCTGAATACTTTTCGAGTTTACGTAAAACCACTTTTTGTCTTTAAAGAAAATTAGGTATCCATCAATTGGAAAAAAAAGTTAGCAATTATTTTTACCATGCAGTGGCATTCAATTGTACCATCTGTTTTTACCTTTTCTTCCCTCTTGGTGTGTAGGCCTATTTGATTTTTAAAGTCGAATATGAAGCCTGATATATTCGCATTTCTTACCAGCTTTGACCTATTTGCGTTTCAATAGTGGATAATTTTGGGGGAGAGACTTTTTAGTCCTACTTTATTGTGTAGCTCTGTATCTTCCTTTTTCTCTTGATTTGCTTTTCTTTCTGTCTATCCCTCTCATATCTTTTTTTCAGTCTTGCTTTTATCTTTATATGTTCTTATAGAAATGTTGCTGTTACCATGGTGACCTGCTGTTAACTACAGTTGAGCAACAACAACAACATAGGCTAACAACCACAACAAGAATAACCAACACCAAATCACTTACCCTTGAATGACTATTGTTGGTTCACGTTGCATCTCTTTATATAATATAAAACAAACACTAAGAAAAGACAAATTCTTTTTCAAGCATTTAGATACTTTCATTGCTGTGCAAATTTAATTATTTATTTCCACGAAACAGCACCTGGCACTCAAAAAAAAATATGTCGGAGAGGGAACAGAAAAAAGAACAACTTAAAAAAAATTTCCTTGTATTTTCAGGTGACGCTGAGTGACGGTGTGGAGGTCTGGCTAGGCAAACTTAGGGACTCGGTTGGGGACACGCTACATCAGCTCAATCAAGCCATCATTTCAGACTGCAACAATGGAGTAGGTCTGGAGGAGTGGGCACTCAAGGTAAGGAACAAGGCTGTCTTGTTAAGGTGGCTTCATGTGGCAGGCAATGACTAAGATTTGTTTTAACATTTGTGTGGCATTGTTTTGATATCAGGTGCTCATTAAAATAATAAAATCTGAGACCTTGACATTTTCCTTCATTGGGCATCTCTTTTTTTTATTTTGTTAGGAGTCTTACTTAACAACTGTTATGTCCATGTAAAAACATTTCTGTATGAATTTTACTGAAAAACATTGATCAAAGGCACAAAAAATGTAAATCAGTAGTTTCCAAGGAGTTACGCTTTGGGAACCACCAAAAAGTTTAGTTCAGATACTTGGTGATGCCCACCTCCTTCAATCACAAATTGTTCTACGTCTATTCATGATAGATGGGTATTTAAAAAAAAATTAAAAGCAAGACAAATGAACAAGCTTTAAGATTATACCCATAACTCCATGTGCCCAAAAACTTACAATCGAGCACATGATTCCACCATGCTGTGACGCATAACATATTAGTGTGGAGGCAGGTAGTAGTGAACTCTTTTATCAATCATTTTCAGTTTAAAGGAGAGTAAAATAATAATGGTTGGTCAACATAACGTTACTTGGTCAGAAAATAGACAATATATTTGTTATAGAGAAAAAAAATAATGTATACCTGAGTTTCTTTCTTAAAGGAGAATAATTATGAATACCCCGATTTATTTACTTAAGGGGTAAATGATGTTCATTGCAGTTTCTTTGTTGAATAGAAATAATAATGTGCACTACAATATTACTTGTCAAAAGGAAATAATCAGGTATACTTTTGTGTGCTTGTTTTTAGTACCCGTCCCAAGTGTGCCGTCTGGGCTTGTTGTACCACTGGAGCGCTGAGTGTGAGGCTGCTATCGCTGAGATTAAGTATGACAGGAAGGCACTGCACGGCGCGGTGCGCAAGTACAGCATGGCCACTGGCAAACTGGTCACTGTCTTGCTGCGCGGCATGTGGAGGAGCTCTGATGAACCCATGCTGCCCATGCACAGAGTCCGCATAGAAGCAATGATCACTGTAAGTTGGGGGAGGGTTTTAATTAATGGTCTATATTTGTTTTGTTTTCTTGACCTTGAATAGATTTCAGTCTTACGTTTGTTTCCACAATATAGAAGAGCAAAAATTTCTCACTCTTGCTCCTTCTTCCTTCCATCCATTCTCTCTTTTTCTCTCTCTCTCTCTTTCTCTCTCTCTTTCTCTCTCTCTCTCTCTCTCTTTCTGAAGATTCTTCTTCTACTTGTTATTACAGTCCACTTTTCTGAGTTAATGCACCCAGTTTTACTGTATTTTCATCATTTTTTTTCTTGTGAAGCAGGACCATCATTGTACCAACTAATAAATACCTGGATACCTGGAGGTGTCATCTCTGACTCAGAGGTTGACGTGTAATGACCCTCAACTTTCACGGTTGTGAGCTGCCGTTGCACATTTTTCCATATAACTAACAAATAACAACTTTTTAATAAGAGATAAGACGTTGTTGAATAAAACTTTGCCGAACCTTTCTCTCAGCAATCCACATACCTGAAGGACATCATGGAGAACATGTGCCAGAGGAAACTGAGAGAGACGACCGACTTTGAGTGGCGCCGGAGTGTCAGATGTTACCTGCAGCCTGATCCCGCTTCAGGTTTGTTGCTTCATTTTTTCTGAAGTTACAGCCAAACTCAGATAACACAAGCTTCATGGAACTGGAGGATTTCTTGGTTTTGTGCAGGTTTCATGTTAAGGGAAGTTGCAGTGCACAAAATGAAGAACAGAATAAAATGGAAATTTGAAAGCCTTTCGTGCTTACAGGAATTTTGTGTTAAACTGCTTTGTGATAAACAAGGTCTGCTACATCATTTTTCTCTTTTACTTTCTACATTTTCTGCGCTGTACCTACCTCTTCTTTTTAGAGGTTGACCTCTGTGGTGCTTTTGGTGGCAAACTCTCCAACACTTAAGATATTTAAGTCTCAGAGCCTTGATTCCCAAGCTTGAAGCTAAAAGTGTTGGGGTTTTTTGGGTTTTTTTTATTCCAGTCGGATCTACACATTCAACCTCACTGTTGAAATTTTCTGAATTTTTGTTCTAGTCTTGGTATGAAGTTGACAGTGTCAGCCAGTTCCTCTTAAACTTTTAGTATACATCTCTTAGTTTATATGCTTTGATAACTGAACCACAAAGTTATTTCGCCGACCTTCGGGTTCGTTTCTCCCTGCTCTCAGAAGCACTGGTGCACGTGGTTGTGAGGTCCCAGTGGTAGGTCTTTTTCACTTCTCTGCCTCTGTTGTTTCTGTCAATCTTCCTTTTTCAAGGAACCAGGTGATCATTTTGTGTTGATGTGTTTCTCTTTCTTCCAACCAGTAAGAAGCAGAGGGAAAAAGATAATAATATTATGGCTCTTCTTTCTCCCACAGTGCAACAAATCCCTGGCTCTGCAGGTGGGGAGAGAAGTCAGACAGGTGAGCTCAGCGTTATTTGTTGTGTTGTCTTTGTGTTGTTGGGAAAGATGGGAGAAATGCCAAAGCACAGTCCTGTGGTGTACTGCACAATTCAATTGACAGCAATAAAACAACAACAGTAACAATGACAACAGCAGCACAGCAATGATGACAACAGTTACACCAACTGTTCAACATCTACAGCAAATATAATATCTTAAAAAAAGACAACAAAAAAAACAGCAACGCAGCAGTTTTTTGTTACAAGATAACAATGGCGGAAGAGCATCAGTAGTTGCGCTAAGATCTTGACTCCTACTTTTACAGTGGAGATATATCTTTGTACATAGTCGTTTGTGTGTAGTTCAGACAAGTTTTACTTTTATATTTTAAGGGGTAACGTAAAAAGAAGTGGAATCAAGTGGGAACTTGAGCTGTTATTTGCTGATAATCAGTCTGGTTTTTATTATTGCGGAATGGTGTAAGTGATACTAGGAGGTATCTAACTAGCATTTGGTTGTTTTTTAATCATATCACCCATTTTGATACCTCCACAGTTAAAAAGAAAGCCTTTTTCTGGCTAATTTTACGTCTGACACCAGATGACTCCCACCTCTTTCAATTACAAATATCTCCACTTTTATTCAAAATAGATGGGTGTTTTTTCTTAAAGAGCAGGGAAAATGAACAGGCTTTCAGATTATACCTTAACTCTATATGCCCCAAATTTAACATGTGCCGGATTTCACCGTGGCGTGACACATATTTCTATTTGTCGATTTTTTAAAATTCTGAAGTTGTGTTCCCAAATAGGCACAAATAAATTCTTTATGGCAAGTGATGTGAAAAGAAAATTTTTTTTTTTTTTACTATTATTGCTTTCAAACCAGGAACCTGGGGTGGTTAGCTATCTTTATGTACTTGCTTCAGTAAAACAGCCAGCTCATTACTCTTCGAGGTATGTAAAGGAACAGCTACGTGACAAAATAGGATTTCTGAAGTATTCGAACTTTCCCTTTTAAAATTGTGTTTAGATCACTAGTGGGATCATTTCTCTTTACCATATTAAAAAAGTTGATCACTAAATGTGCGGTAACCAATGATTTCGTCCAGCTTTGGTTTAATTGTTTTTGTCAACAGCACACTGATTGGATGAAATAATCAGCTGCTTTTACATTTTTACTTCTGAATATAAATTGTATAGTCACAGAGCCCTTTGCAATTATTATAGAAAAAGTAATAATATATGTCCATGTTCATATATGAAACAATATCTAAACTGTGAATTGTGGGGTTTCCCTATAGCATCTACAGATGATGAAGATGAGGACGATGAGGGTAAATTCTAAATCCCTATTTTGCTTATCCTTTCCATGTTGTATATTTTTTCATTCCTGCTCTACAAACATCATGCTTTTTAACTCTTTGTTTTTCTTCAAAGCTGTTTGCCTTTGTATATTCCCTCCTTCATACATCATATCCTTCCCAGATTTCTCGTGTAGATTTCAATACATTTCATGTAAATGTATGTGAGGGAAATTTCATCGGTTGTAGGCCTATATAATTGATTTTACCCATTTTATTTCCTTCCCTTTTTGATACAATTTAAATTTTTTGGGAAGTGGACTGCTTTGATTGCCTGTTTCTGAGTCAACGAAGGCTGTGTATCAAACTATCCCCCCCCCCCTCCCCCTCCCCCTCAAGCAGAAAGACGGGGATACTAGATGATATTTCTTCCAATTATTTTTAATCCAACTTACATCTTCTGAGGCATGGCAAAGAGCCTAATCAATGCTTTACAGATGCCAATGTATCTAACTTTTAAAATATCGCGTAAAATTGCTCTCTGAAGATACAATGATTTGGCATACTCCATGGTATGAAGTAGTGAAAGTAACAGTTTTGCAACACAATCAATCTGTATTGGAAAGTTGCATCTGCATCATTAGAATATGTGACATATTACACTTGGCATAGGAAGACGACTTAAGCCATAGCATCTTAATTTTGCACAGTTTAAGCTCAGCTGCTGTAATGATTAAAGGACTTTCCTTGTGATGTACCTTTCTTGTGCCAAAATGTTATGGAAAGCAAAAATGTTTGTAATCATAGCTCAATATAAAACATCAAGTTGGTACTGCTTTCTGGTTCACATGTTTTCCGTGTAATGTTTCAAGGATTGTTGCTGCTCTCTCTCTCTTGTAACAACATCTTACTTTTATCATATCCCATCTTAATGAAACGCTTTTGCTTTTTACTTGTCTTTGTATCTAGTAAAGGATGTAACTTTTTTCAATATTTATGTCCCCATAATTTTCCTACTCCTCACTCCTTTCCAATTATTGTGTGTGTTAATAGATCTTAACTGAACTATTTAGAAATAGAAAGGTGCTTTTAATTTTGAACTTTGAAGGCTTTTCAAAAGCTCTTTTCTTCTGGCTACAATTTGAAACATTTGGCCCTATCACTTTGTGGCAGGCCATGCATGTGTTTACTGTGGTGATCTTTGCTATCATGCCTTTATGCTTCTGTGAAGCTTATGTAAAGGGTTGTAAAATGCATCCTGTCCACAATAAATCTCGTGGTTAATGAATTATTGAGGTCTGTTTCTGTATCTTTTCTTCTCTTTGAGATTGAGAGTTATGTGACATCAGGTTTAATGAAATACTGCTTCTAAAAGCACATCATATTAAGTACTTGATGACAACATCAATATTTCTCTTCATTAAAATGTAAAGTTTTCTGTTTCTGTAGAGTGCTTCAACAATTGTCAACATCTTTAAAAACATTTCAATATTTACAGATTTTGAATAGCAAACAGTTACTTTCATTTGTGAATACTGTGCTGCTGTAAGCTTTAAAAAAAATTCTTTTAGCAAGTAAAGGGACTTGTATCAGTTGTTACTGAATTCTGCAGGGCTTATATTGTCAAGTATCTGGAAAGAAATATACATCTGAATCCCATCAAGTTGTTCCGCTTTGTTTCTTGAGCCAATATAGCTCATGTCCAGCTTTTGTCTTAAACTAACGTGTTTTCTTGCTTCTGTATGAAACACAAAATATCATTCTTATGCTCCCTCCACCTCATGTCAAGATCTTCAAAATTTTCTTTGTTATGTAGAATTGATGCATCTATCCTTTTCATAGATATGTTTTTTGCTTTTATCTTTTTTTAAAAATGTAATTTTTGCTTCTGCTTATGTTTATGGCATATTATAATATTTTTGTGATAGGTCATCCAACTGTTGTTAACCAACTAACACATTTCTTTGATGCGGAATCTTTTGAGTGAAAAATCAGATCTTAGAAATTTGTGGAATTCTATTTAAATGGAAAGAACAGTATCATTTTAAGATGTTTTCTCTGATTATCACCTTCTGTAACCATTTTTTATATCAACATGTAATTTCATATCTAGTATCACATTGTACCATTCAATGTGCTAAATATTTTTCCTTCAGTACTAGTTTTTATGCCTAGACCTGTTAAATGATTTCTTGCTTTGTTTTTAACTTTATGAGATGTGAGTATCTATTTACGTTATCACACATTGGCATCATTCTAGTTCTGTTCTCAATAATACTATTCATGTCAAGTATCACGTTATAGTGTTGTAAGTTGTTGAAGTATCACATTTTCTGCTGGAGGGCGCCACTGGTAGGTCTTACTTCCTTCATGCTTTCTTTCTTTTATTTCTGTCTGTTTGTTTTACTTATTCTATGTACCAAGTTGGCATTATCGTGTCAAAATGCTCCGTCATTGTCATAGTCATTGTTTACTGCCCCTCTCAACAATTTAAGTTTTTTTAAGAGGCAGGACTTCCAAATTTAATGTCCATCTCCGATAAGACTGAGTCAAGTGGATGTAGAGCACTAGGACCATCTGCTTCGTAATCCAGCATGATGCAACTGATGTGTTTCTCTTTACTGAAACTAATTAAAACAAAAGGTAGTGGGTGGTTGACGGGTGTTTAGCTGTGGTTAGCTCCTTCTTTCCTATAAAAAAAACTAAACTGTCGTCCTTATCTCTTCTCCTTCATTTCTCTGTACATCAATCTCTAGTAATACCTCAAATTTTCTCACCTATATGACCTAACTTTGTTGCAAGTGCCGTGAATACCTTCCTTACTACAACTAAAGGAAAAGATATACATGCATGTTACTTGTTTCCTGTCCTGGCAGCTGTGGAGGAGAAGCCCTTGCCTCGGCTCTGGATCCTGGACTCCCACTACGAGTACGGGAAAGAGTTCTATGGGACGGACACGGGTGTGTGCCCCACCCCCACCACGGAGAAATGTTTCGTCACCATGTCCCTGGCTCTGAAGCAGATGATGGGCTCTGCTTTGATGGGACCCCCTGGAGTTGGGAAAACTGAGACTATCAAGGTGAGATAGGAGTTAGACTTTTTAGATTTTTTTTTGGTCAGAATCAAAGTGAAAAAGTTTATCACACTATACCTAGCAGTAGAAATATAAAATCGATGAAGTGTTCAGTAAAAAATTGTGGGTATTTAAAAACTATGACTATGAAAAACGGACAGGAAAATGATATTCATTTTTGCTTGATTCAATTGAAATCATGCAAATACCCAAAAAAATCTTTAAAAAGTGATTCTACACACTTATCACTTTGTCATGTCATAACAGTCAATATGAGCGGGCACTTGCTGGTCTTGTTTCAGTACTATCTTTCTATTGTGTTTGTCTGCCTGCCTTGCTTTTACATGGCACTAAATGACCTTTATTGTGTTGATGTCCTTCTGTTTGCTCAAACAATTAACAATGTGTTCTCTTCCCTCTTGTCAGGGTCTGGCCAATATTCTTGGAAACTTTTTGGGCATGTTCCAAGTGTCCTCTGAGCATGATCCGACCAGTATTGGAAAAATTGCACAGGGAATGGCAATGGTATGTGTTTAATTTAAGTAATTTAGAAAAAAAGCCAAGAATTAAAGCAGCGTGTCAAAGTAAAAAGAACCTCCCTCTTACACCTTCCTTTAAAAAAAAAAAGACACACACACCCCCACTCAGTCAAACAAGTACTCACTCGTACACTCTTTCTCACCCACACAAACATGCACATTCTCTCTCTCTCTCTCTCTCTCTCTCTCTCTCTCTCTCTCTCTCTCTCTCTCTCTCTCTCTCTCTCTCTCTCTCTCTCTCTTTTTTTTTCTCTCAGTCTCTCTCTCTTTCTCTCATACACACACACACACATTGTCTGCTTTGTGTAAGACTCCGCCTCACGTCGCTTTGAAAAGTGAAGTATGCATGAGTGTTACATTGAGCAGTCAACATACATACACACTCACACCTACCCCACCACACACACACAACACAAACCCACTCATACACACACACATAAACACATTTCCACTCTCTTTACCCCTTCCTCTCCAAAAATAAAAGGCAAAAGAGAAAAAAAAGAAAAAATGCAAGACATAGTATATTTGTGAGGCATCGTGATGAAATCAGGCGCTCGTCAAAATAATGAAATCGAAGATATCGACATTTTTCCTCCTGTTTGGCCAATTTTTAAAAATTTGTTTTTGCCTCAACATCTTTTATGTCCATTTTAAAACATAATTCGGTGTGTATTTTATTTCAAAACTTTGATAAAAGGAACAACAAATGTAAATTTTCAGCTTCCAAGGACTTTCAAGCTTTGGAAATCACCAAACTTTGGCAGCTATTTTCTCGCTAATTTTACCTCTGAAACCAGGCAACCCCAAGCTCCTTCAATTCCAAATATCTCGACTTCTGTTGGAGATAAGCGTGTATTTTAAAAAATCAAAAGATGGTCAAATGAACAAGCTTTAACATGATACCAATAACTCCAGATACCCCAAAATTGACGAGCGCCTGATTCTATCCCGTCGTGACACATTTGTTTTTTCCAGGATGGATGTTGGGGCTGCTGTGATGAAGCCCAGAGCTTGAGCAAACATGCGCTGTCTGTGCTGCTTGACCATGTCCAGTCCATCTTCTTGGCTCTTCGGGCCAGACAGTCCTACATGTACCTTGTGGATGGCACAGAAGTATGATGTTGTTGTTAGTGGTGTTGGTGCTGTTGTTGTTGTTGTTGTTGATGGTGGTGGTGGGGTTGTTGTTAATGATGATGGAATTGTTGTTGTTGTTTTTGTTGTTGTTGTTGTTGTTGGTGGTGGTGGTGGTGGGGATGGTGGGGTTGCTGTTGTTGTTGTTGTTGATGGTGGAAATGCTGTAATTGTTGTTGATGGTGGAATTGTTGTTGTTGTTGGTGGTGGTGATGGTGGGGTTGTTGTTGTTAATGATGATGGTGGTGGGGTTGCTGGTGTTGTTGTTGTTGTTGATGGTGGAAATGCTGTAGTTGTTGTTGATGGTGGAATTGTTGTTGTTGTTGTTGTTGTTGATTGTGATGGTAGGGTTGTTGTTGTTAATGGTGATGGTGTGATTGTTATTGTGATGGTGATGGTTGGGTTGTGATGTTGATAGTGATGGTGAGGTTATTGTTGCTGTTGCTGTTGTTGGTGGTGGTGGTGGTGGTGGTGATGGTGGTGGGGTCGTCGTTGTGATGGTGATGGTGGGATTGTTGTTGTTGTTGCTTGTTGGAAATATTGTTTCTATTGGTGAGGATGGTGGGAGTCAGTGCTTTTGTTAGTAGGGATTTTGTTGTTGTTGTTGGAGATGCTGTCGGTAGGTATGTTGTTTTTGCTGATTTTTTGACAGATGAGTGTCATTTTTATTGATGGGGGTGGCAAGGTCAATACTTTTAACTTAAGTGGGTGGTTGGAGGGAGCCACTTCTTTTTCTACACTTTAGTGTTATGTTAATTCTCTCAGTCTGTCTTATACTCCCCCCCCCCCCCCCCCCCCAGCTCAAAATCATCATTATCATGTCAACATGCTTCTTCTCTATCAAATAATGCTAATCTATACTTAACTTTAAAACCCTTTTTATCTACCTCCCAGATTCCATTACGCCGATCAGTGGGTCTGTTTATGAGTATGGACACGTCAAATTACCCCAAGTCCAAAATGCCGAGTGACATCCTGGAGTCGTTCCGAACCATCTCCATGGTGAAGCCGGACATCGGCATGATTCTCAAGGCCAAGTGTTCCTCCATGGGCTTCAGGGCTCCCATCGTGCTGGCCAACAGACTCAAGCTTCTCTCAGAGCTTGTCAAGGATCAGCTGTGAGTTTGAGTTTTTTGTCCTGTTGAGGGTAGCAACTTTTGTGTCCTATTGAGGGTAGCAACCTCCATGATATGATTTATATAAAGTTAATTAAATAGTATAACAATTTTTTCTTTTACCTGTGTTTAAACTAAACCGCTACCAAGGAAATGTAGTATACGAAATGGCTAATTTTCAGAGACAGTGAGTAGAAATTTAATGATTGTGGTTGGGCTGTTCCACCTTTGCATTCATGGGACATGAGTTTGATTCTTACTTGAGGAAGTATCTTTTATCAAGCATCTCTATCTTTCTGCTGGAATGTTGTATACCACTCAGCCTGGGTTGGCCCCAACAGGTAGGTTAGAAGAAGCCGAATTCCAAATTATCTGGACTATATTGATGGGGGTGTAGAACATGTATAATCAATCAATGAATAAGTAAGTCAATCAATCAATCTTGTTTCTCACTGCTTTACCTGAGCAGGCCACAGCAGATCCACCACCACTTCACCACTCAGGCTCTGATCGGAGTCCTGAAGAGAGCCTCCCAGAAGAGGCGCCGCGACAGAGATGACCGGATGGTGCAGAGGGACCTGAAGGATGAGGCATCACGCTCAGAGAGTCAGAGTTCGGAGGCACCAACCAACAGAACTGCCCAGGCCCCTGTGAATGGTCAGTTTATGAATTTTATTATCATTCTCACTGAGCTTTTGATATCAGTGTGTCTAGACCTTCAAAATCACTTAATTCACAAATAGTTATAGTTTTTCAAATTGTAATTATTGTGTAAAACCTTTCAAAATCCCTCTTCATGAATGCTCTTTGATCTGATTATTTTTCATTGCATTTTTTAGTTATTGAAATTCTGTCAGAAAGTTTCTAATGCAGTCGATAAGCTTATTTTTTGTGCTTTTTTTTGTTGTCAAAGAAATTTGAAACCACCTTTTGTTGCCGTTTTACGCAGTTTATTTTGATCTCATTAAATGAAATCTTTAAAATTTTGTTGTCTCATCCCTTTTTAGCCTTTTGCATTGGTCACATTTTTCACTCAAGTGTTTGTGCATGCTTGTGTCACATATCACTCCCCTCACCCCCACCCCCTTCCTCCTCACTCCCACTTCAGTTTTAGCTAACAAGCCTGGTCAAATTGGAGTGATCAGAAAACCAGGCACACCAAATCCTCTGACCACACAGGGCAAGCAAGAGCACTCAATGGTTTGTGAGACAATAGATGAGATCATCAGTCCCAGGCTGACAGCTGAGGTTTGTAAAAATATGCATAATAAAGTTTCACCTCCTCTTTCAACGCTGTAAGAATATCAGATTATTCAAGAGGCTAGACCTTTGAATTTTTTGTCCAAAATTTTCCTAATCTTGGGCTTAGTTCATTTTAGCAGCTGACTGGCATTTTTGTTCTTGTTGATGTCAGTTAGATTCTTAACAGCTTTCTTGGTTGCCATATATTTAATGTAGTCCTGCTCTCAGGCATCATATACATACCCTCTCCCTCCTCCCAACCTTCATTGGTGAAGCCACACGTCTCCAAGTTCATTAACTGCTATCTAATGATAGATGCAAATCATACAGACTACTGAGTTGTGACAAGGCTTTTTCCATTTACTAGATCTTTTGTCAAAGAGTGAAAGGTATGTAAAACTGTTCATAAGTCTTGATTTGCCTACAATTACATGATTTTGATTGCAGGGAATAGTTGAATATTGAGAAAACACAAAATTGTCAAATCAACAATGGCTTATGATTCATGACAAGCTGTAACTTGTATTACCAAAATGCGTTGTACAAATGATGAAACTCCCCTGCAGAAGAAGGAAAAACAAAGCTAGACAGCTAAAGCTTAAAAGAGCTTCTCCAGCTACCATTGCACTATCATAGAGTACAAATAGAATCTAAAACACCTTTCCTGTTTCCCCACTCCCCAGAACCACACACTGTTCAAGAACATTCTCAAAGACTGCTTCAGCAATCTTCCGAACCCTGACGGCACAGGCGGAAAGTTGTCTGCCAAGGGCAGGGGAGCAAACTCAGCCAAAGCAAGGCCCCTGGTGTCAGCTCGTGTCCCACGTAACACCGTCGATATTGAGCCGGCCCTGGAGAGCAAAGCCGTGGAAGCGGGTCTAGTAGCTCACAAACCGTGGATCACCAAGTGCAACCAGCTCTACACTCTGTCCCAGGTTTACAATGGTAAGGGAGCTGAAATCTTAGGCTGAGTGGTTTCATTTTTACAAGAATTTTCACTTTTCTAGAAATGTTTAAACATGTCTCTTGTCATTTACCTCTGTTTCTAGAATAATGCTTGTATTTCCCGGAATTCAGGAAACAGTATTGGATCTTTATCCTCTTGCATCTTGTGTACTTACAATTCCTGGAATTAAGGAAATATGGAGTATTCCAAACCCTTCATTTTTAGTGTATTCACTGTTCCTGGTATTCTGGAAATATATGATGCTCATCACTGAAAACGTGTTAACATGAAGGATAAATTTTCAGTTAGTTCAACTAAGTTATTGTTATTGTTGTTATTATTATTATTATTGTTTTTATTATTATATTTTATTATTATTTCAACCACAGGTGTCATCGTGGCTGGGCCTCCGGGCAGTGGGAAATCTGCCTGTATCCAGACAATGGTGGATGCTCTGTGTGTGCAGACCAGAGCCATATCCCGGCAGTCACACAGCAGCAAGGCTTCGGCCTCCACCGAGAGCCAGCACAAACTTCTGAGGATCAACCCAATGGTGGTGGATGACACGGCCCTCATGTTTGGCAGCCTGGGCCACAACAATGACTGGGTGGACGGTATCTTCACCCACGCTGTCAGAAAGGCCAACAGGGTAGATAGTGTTCTGTTTTATGTCTTTGTTGATAGTGGGTTGGTTTGCCATTTGATTATGTTGGGTTTTTTCTTTTCTCTTCTTTTAAATGTTATGAGTTTTGATCTGAGAGAATTTGCATCTACTTTTTGTATTCGGATACATTCTGTTTGTTCAAGACATTAGAGAAATGCTTTCCAAAGTTGACTAAAGTTGTCAAAATAGAGGGACAGAATCTGACGAGTTTTTCTGTCTCCTGTGTAAAAAATAACCTTCCAGGAATTTTTCAGTTTGCAACAGACACCACGCTTATGCTAGCTGACATTGTATGCGTGAAAAGAATTTCATATTGATTTTATTAGTATTGATTTTGTTGTCAAATATGACATTTCATGAGTAAATTATCTACTTATGTATCTATTTTTATGCATTTATTTTCATATTCTAGTATTTGCACTGTTTGTGATAAGGATCAGTTATATAAAATGAAGCATCACTCTTTAAGGACTGAAAACTGGTTGCAAAATCAATCATTTAAAACTTAAGGAGAGGTGTAAAGGTAGATATTTTCCTCTCTGCAGAATATCAGTACAACATGGATGTGCCTTGATGGTGTGCTCAGTCAGAGCTGGGCTGACAACTTCAACAGCATTCTTGGTGGAGACAAGGTGGGTATATGTGACTCTGACCTCGGACAGCCTCATGAAGACTCCATTTTTTACCTTTCCTTTCCTTGACACAATTCACTACCGCCTTGTGAATTTCTTATTTTAACCACATTTTGGAAAGAGTTGACTGTTACTGAAGCAAAAAAAAGTATAAGTTCTTGAGGAGAGAAGGAGGACCACTTTGTTATAGTTGACTTAAATGCCCTAATTTACACAACATAGATTGCTCATAGCACGAAACTAAAAAGTTATCTTTCAGAAAAATGTAGGGAGACTTGAAGGTTTTTTTTAGCATTGTGAACTATGTTTCCACTCTGCAGTTGTAATGTTCTGTTGACAGTAATTTTTTGTTTTTTTCAAGCATTCAAGGAAAATAGCAGTTCCTTTTTTTCTTCTTCTCCTTTTTCTCTTCTCTTCCATATTATTTTGTATACATTGCTGCATCTTGAAATATTCACAACAGCAAAATTGTATCTATTGTTGAATGGATGCATTTTTAGATTATTACCATATGAAAGTGCAAATGGTACGCCTAGTTTCAGTTGAATTTTAGATTTACATCAAAATTAAAGTTTTTCACACCCTTTTTATAAACTTTTTGCACCACTAGATGTTCTGTATCAGGGGACAATCTACTGTACCCATGATAATGAGATGACCTAGTTAGACAAACATGAGTTAAGCCTGTTTTATATCCAATATGACTTGTTTCCCTGTTTGAAAATCAACTGGTTTTTCTATTCCCGATCAAGGTTTTGCACCTGAAGAATGGAGACAAGCTGTTCCTCAACGACAATATCATGCTTTTGTTTGAGACGGATGACTTGACCAATGCGTCCCCGTGCACTGTGTCCAGCTGTGTAAGTATCTGTTTGGTTCCTTGTTTCAGCGGATGTGTTTTGTCACCAGTTTTATTCACACTATACACGAACGATTGCCAAATAAACAACAGTAACATCAAGTTGATAAAATTTGCAGATGATTCAACCATAATTGGGCTAATTCAGGCTGACCATAACGAAACCGCTTACCGGAATTTTGTACTTAACTTTTCTGAATGGTGTGAAAATCATAAGCTGCTTTTAAATGTTAAAAAAACAAAAGAACTTGTTGTTGATTTTAGAATAAAGAAACATTCCTTGCAGCCACTCGAAATTAAATGGGAAAACATCGAGCAAGTGTCAGACTATAAGTATTTGGGCATTACAATAGACAACAAACTCAACTGACGTGTCCACACTTCTCTCCTGCATAAAAAAGTAAACAAAAGACTTTTTTTCTAAGGAAGCTACAGTATTTTAAAGTTGATAAAACATTGATGTCCATGTTCTACCGTTCAACCATAGAAAGTATGATCAATTTTTGTATAACAGCATGGGCCGGGAACACAAGACAACAAGATAAAGAAAAATTAAATCGACTAATACGGAAAGCATGTAAAATTTCAACATCTACATTCCCCTACTTGGATGAATTGTATATAACAGCTTGCACTAAAAAAAATTAATTTCATCTTTTTAGACAACAAACATCCCTTGTTCCCTCAAATAAAAACATCAGTCAGAAGTAAAAGACCTAGGCTTCTGATCTGTAACAAAGAAAGATACAGAAGGTCATTTTTACCATCATCTATCAAAATGCTTCCATCTTAACCATCTTGTATAAGTATACTTACGACCTTAGAGCATGCATCAAAATAACATTGAGTGTGTATCTAGCTTACGATTATTATTGTTTATATTGCTGCTCATTTATAATATGCATGTGATTGTAAGCCTACGTGTGTGTGCATGTGTGTGCGCGTGTGTGCGTGTGTGTGTGTGTGTGTGTGTGTGTGTGAGTGTGTGTGTGTATGTGTCTGTGTGTGTGTGTGTGTACACGTGGTGGAACACCAAACCAATGTGCCAGGATCTGGACAATAAAGATGTATCTTATCTTATCTTATCTTATCTTACCAACTGTCAACCCCAAGATCTACACCTGATCCTGTGCTACATTTACTACCTGTTTTCACCCATAACAGGATCCCTTGTCCAATTATGAATAATTTCAGTGCTCACATACACGAAAAATCCATCAATATTTGACTGGATTATAGCTGTTTTAAAGTAACACCCTCCACCACTGGAAGTGTAAAATTGTGAATCCCCTTACATACCGAAAGAGTTAATGAACCGACATAGTTGTAGTACATTACAATACTTGTTCTCTTCAGGGCATTCTCTTCATTGATCGAGATGTTGTTGGATGGAAGCCCATTGCCAGAGCTTGGCTGGATACAAGATCACAACTAGAAGTGCATGTAAGTAAATCCCTATTGTAATCAGAGCAAGTTCTCTGACTGTGGCAGCTTGGAGGGTGATACATTTCAACAGAGAACATTTCAAAAATTATTTTCTGTTGGTGCTTTAATGTCTCTCCTTGTCTTTTGTTGGTGTTTTTTTTTTAGAGAAAGGACTCTAGTCAAGCTCTATCTCTCTCTCTCTCTCTTTCTCTCTCTCTCTCTTTCTCTCTCTCTCTCTCTCTCTCTCTCTCTCTCTTTCTCTTTCTTTTGGCGCTGTGGCGTCATAAGCGGTCAGCGATGCCAACAGCACGCAGAAACTCAACACTTGCTTGGGGGTCTTTAAAAAGAGTTGAAAGTGGGTCACTGAAATATCCCAGCAGATCTAGTCAAGCTGAAAACAAGTTTCCAACTACGATAATTGCAATGCTTATAGTATTTGAAAAAAAAAAAGAATTATTCTTTTCAGAAAAGATGATACAAGCATTTATAAGTTGCTGCAGAGAAATGTTCACAAGTATATGTTTCTCATGAACTGTTTGATCATTTTTCTCCTTTCCTTTCTGCTGAAGAAACATTCACAGGAAATCAGACAAGTAATTTATTGTCTTTAAATATGTGTATCACAGCACTACTATGTTAAATATTGTCACAGTAGAATGGTTTGGTTTAGCCTCACAAATGTGAAGAGTATTGTCTGTGGTTGTTATTTTTACTTTATTAACTTGATTTGATCTCTTGATTGGTATGATAGTCTGCATAACTTCCAGGGTACACACATGCCCCAGGATATTTTTGAATGCATAGTACCTTCTTTGAGCTTTTTCTTTGCCTATTATTGTAAATGTTAAGCTGGGCGAGTTGGATGGGGGAAGGGGGAGAATGTTGTGACCTGAGGTCAAACTGTAAAACTGAAATTTCTTCACTTGTTAGTTGTAAAGATAGTATTTTGTAACTGTTTTGTTCAAGGGAAGTTTGTACCTTTGAATACTTACTATGAGGTTCTATTGTAATATTCCTTGCTCAAGAGAACCATTTATACTGCAGTAATTAGATATCTTGTCAACTTGCAATTGAGGCTACCACAGACAATATCTCACCCTTTTATTGAGACTGAAAGTGAATCTACTGTATGTTCAAGAATATAACCATGTTTCCAGAATTTGTATTGTTGTTGTAGCACCTTGGTGCATGCTGAGCGTCAACTAGTTTTTTGTTTCTTTTAAATCACACGAGGCCATCCATGTATGGTATACACTGCACGTAGAATCTCTTTTGTCTTTTTCTTTGGACAAGCTTCCATGTGTCTCATTTTTCTCACTTTATTGTCATGAAGGAAAGACTTGTGCGATCATTTATTGGTTTTGTCCTTAAAAAAAGCATACATATAGCCTATTTAAAAATGGAATTTTTAAAACAATTTGCTTTAGTAGGTTTCAGTTTGTCTATTGTTACGCTTATTTGATCATTTGTGCATGATTTCCAATTTGTTTGCATGAAGCATTAAGGAGTCTCATGAATTTTCTTTCTGAGAGAGACTTGCTCATTATGTATATTATGTTTTTAAAAATCTTGTGGCACAAAGTGTTGCGTAGACATGCATGTGTAGTTTGGTTTGATTTGGAAACAATAGTGAATAATTATGCTCTTCCCAAGGGTTTTCAACCATATTGTCAGAAGTGTATTTAATTGATGTTCCTGAAGTTTATAAAGTGAAGTATCCATTTTGGTCCTTGGTGGTCAGTTAGGTTTAAAACAAACTTGGAAATGGATCCATAAAATGATTATTCTGTGAATGAGATTTTAAAAACTACTAGAACTTGTTTTGTGTCGTAATATTTACTGCAGCAGCAAAAGTAACAACAACAGTAATCACCCCATAAATGGGAACAATAACAACAGCAATAATAATAATGACGGCAGCTACATTTTTCATTCGCTTAACTGTTCAATATTTTGTTATATTTAGTCATTTTAGGCGTCCCAAAACATTTTGCTTTAGTTTTCTATTTTAAAGGGCTTCCTCTTAATGCAAAAACTGTATACACTCTACAGGTGCTGCAGAGAGCTTTCCAGAAGACCCTGGATCCCATTGTGAATTTTGTTTTGAATGAAGCAAAGTAAGTCTGAAATACTGAAGAAAAAATAGAATACTGTGTTTGTATCTTTGTCATACGTCTTTTTTAAAATGCTGAATCCAATATTTTTGCCTTTACTCATTATTTAATTTGGAAAAGTTGTTTTTGTGCTTTCTCTCTCCTCTCCCTATCACTGTTTGCCTCTGTTTTTAAAAGCTGGCAGATGGGATATAAATTGTCTGCCATCCCCCAAACTGTAAAATAATTCTTTAGTGAGACTGATGCAATAAAGTGGCTTTCAGCACGCACAGAAGAGAGAAAGAGAGAGAGAGACAGAGAAAAGACTGAGAGAAACTAGGAACAAATGGATCATTGTAGAACGTGCAAAGGGTTTGAACTTAACTGGATTTTCTTCCCGTGGGTTGCACCTAACTCTATTGGTTATCACGATCACGAGGAAGCTACAGATGGCTGTAACAATAACAAAATGGTTTTTTTATCTGAAATGAACATATATATGATAAACATTGTCAATACATTTACTGTCCTCCGTTTCTAGACCACGTCTCCAGCTGTGTGAAGTGGGTATGCTGAAGACCTGTCTCGGTCTACTGGCGGCCATGTTGGCAGACAACATTGAGGTGTCCGGAGAACTGCACATTGAGCGTCTCTTCCTCTTCTGTCTGATCTGGACATTTGGAGGGCTCCTCGATGCCAACGACGGCAAAGCTTTCAGCGACCTGCTCAAGACACTGTCTACTGCGTAAGTGGTGCACCGAGGTGCTGGTGATAATGTAATGATATTAATAATGATTATAAATATGATAATAGTAATGATAATCATGATGATATAATTAGTAAAATAACTTTAATAATTCTAATGACGATGATGGAAATGATGAAGTCAATGATAATGATTAAAATGGTAGGAATGATGAATATAATGAAATTTTCTTCATTCAAAATCCATTGCGGCTATAGTTTTCAACCTTCTTTTTGTGGTCCTTCAAGTAATAATATTCAGGGTGTACAGTTTGATATTTACTGCCTTTCTCATAGCTATAAAGAAATTGTTATTATAAGAAAGACCGCTGCCGTCCTTTCACCGTAAATTCTTATGGATTGATTTTATGGTTTCAGATTGCCAGATGATGACAGAGACATCTGTGTGTTCGACTACTATGTCGACGAATCTGGAGAGTGGGATCCATGGCACTCACGGTAAAAATGGAAGATTTTTTTATCAGCATTCTGCTTCGACTAGTTCAACATGTTAGATTTTGGAACTCTTCATTAAAAGAAATAAATTCTTAAAGAGTGGAATGGTTGTCTCTGCGAACTAAAGTTTGAAATTGTATAGGCTTAAGGATACACCACTTGCAAGACTATAAGGTTATTTAACGTCCATCTCTTAAACAAGTGAAAAAATTTGTGTAAAATGCCTTTCTTAAGGACACAACATTCCACCTCGAACCCTTCATTAATGTCATGATTTATGAATTTGGTAGCCTAAGCATTATAGCCTACTACCATCACCACAATTTTCACAATTTATAGTCTGTCAGTTCCAGCCACAAAAGATGTGTTTTTTCCTTCTTAACTTCTTTTTACCTAAACGAAGGTCTGAACGAAAGCATTTGTTGGAGTTTTTCTGCTTATGATTTCCTGCTGTCTCTTTGCCTCAAGAGTTAATCTCTTCCTTGTCAAATTGCTGCTTTTGGAAAATCCTAGAGGATGATATATGACGCAGAATTAATGAAGAGACAAGTGACCTATTTCTGATACTGTTCAGATTTTTTTAACATTAAGAAATGAAATACACTCCTCTCTATTAAAAACATTTTCTGTTAAAACTTTCTTTTCTAGATACAAAAGAGTACGAAATGGTACTTTACTGTTTGAATCACTAGTACACTGTGATGCTTTATTGTAGTCCTTTCCATTTTACTATTTAAATTTGAATTGTGCTACGAGCTACTTTTTCTGTACACCCTTATAATGTGGACTGGGAAACTTGTTACATTTCAGTGTGCCAGAGGCTGTGTACACAGACAACCAAGACATGTTGGGAGAAGTGTTTGTCGACACTGTTGACACTGTAAGTTATCAGTTGTGTTCTTTGCAGGTCTCAGGCAAAGACAAATGTTCTTTGTACTCTTATGAAAACACCCACTCTCTTTTATATATATATAATATTTGTACACATATATATATATATGTTGGAGAGTTGGGAAAATTTGTGGAAAGTATAAAGTAAAATTGAGAATATACTTTTACATTTTATGTTTCTGTATGACTCGGACTTTGCTTGAAATTGTTGTTGTTGTTGTTGCTGTTGTTGTTATTATTGCAACTGTTACTATCATTATTTTTACTACCATCATTACAGTTGTCATTTTCATTGTCATCTTTTGCAGATCCGAACTAGGATCCTGATGGAATTTTCTGCTGCTTCTGGCAGAAATGTTTTACTCGTGGGACCCCATGGTTCTGGCAAAACTGCCATCATCAATGACTTCATCGACAGTCAAGGTAAAAAGTTTGTGTTTTTACGTATTTACCTGCATGGCTCTATTTATTAAGATTGTCTTTTGATATTTGTTTCCTTTTGCATGTGTTTTTCTCCTTACCAGTCACCACTAGATCATTTGGAAACTAGGATCCTCCATTATGGGATATTGGCACAGTAGTCTTTGCCTATACAAATAGGGCTCTGGAGGGCTCGCAAGCATGCATTTACATGGACCGTACGTTTACATGAACCTGTGTGAAGGGAGAAAGGGGCGCAATCATCTCATTTCTTTGATATTCTTGTGACCTCCCTTGGGGGGGGAGGGTGTTTGCTTCCGCTGATAATGCGATGTGATGAAATGTGACTGTTGTAAAGGATTCTCAGATGGCGGTTATGACTACTAAGGCACTGAATGAGTGATGGAAAAAAAGCAGAAAGACTGACCCACTGTACTGATGTGCACTAACATGGCGGGAAAAGATAAGAGGAAACTGATGGTGATATTCATTATAGAGGATTATAGGGAAGAGCGCTCAGTCACGCAATGCAGTACAAGAACTTGTTATATGTCTGTGAGGTTCTTACTTTTTTACCGTCTTGCAGGGTAAAAAAAAGTATCCAAAGTGTATTTCTTTACTTTTGGAATTCTGAAATATAATGAGTTTTGATATGGAAAAATGAACAATGAAAACACTTTTCGACATTTGCTTTTTTTCAATGCAGATCCCCAACTATCTGTGTGCAAGCGTCTTGTGTTTTCTGGAGCCTCCACAGCACTGCAGCTTCAGCAGTTCATTGATTCCAACATCCATCACAGACAAGGTACGGTCTGAATTTCTTATTCATATCTATTTTAAAACATCATTTCTAGCCAGATGCAATGAATTATGGAATACTTTGTAGTGACATCACTTTTTAAAAAAATTAAAAGCCGTATGATTGATTTGAGAAGCCATGTTTTCTCTTCACCATTAGCAGCACTCCCCAGCACTAAATTAAGGTTGTTGTTTCAATGTGTTTCTCTTTACTTAAACTTAAACTGAGGAACATGATAATGTAATCCCTGTGAATGAGTATATTTTAAAAAATTATGAACGTTACATAATGTTGTGTTAAGTTCTGTTGATTTTATTGAGCAGGCTTTGTTTACGGAGCCAAAGACAACAAAAAGCTCAAGGTGTTCATTGACGACCTCAACCTACCCTTGCCGGACGAGAACGGGACTCAGCGGTGCAACGAGCTGTTGAGACAACTCCTGGATGAGAGACAACTCTGCACGCTGAGCAAACCATTTGAGTGGCGCACCGTGGAGGGCCTGTCTATCATATCAGCCTTGGCGCTCAGTGATTATCCAGCCGCTTTCAGCAGACCTCTGAGCGAGAGGCTTTTGGTGAGGATTGGACAAGGAGGAATTTCAGAATTGTTTTATGAATGCCAGATTGTTGGGGGTTCTTTGCCAAGAAAAAAAGATTTTAAAGTTTTGTTCTCCATAATTTTTAAGTGAAAAATTCATATTGCATACTTTATTGTCCCCCTTTTATACAGAAAGTTGATAATCATTTTCTAAAGAGTTTCAAACAAGATATCTTGTTTTTCATCTTCTCCATTGACTCAACATGAAAATCCTTGAAATCAAAATCAACTCAATACAAAAAAAAAGGAAAAAAATCTGTTTCCAAAGGTTTCAAGTTCTAGGCGTACTTTATGTTGCTTTGTATAGACCTTGATCATGGTGGGAATCCCCTCAAAGAAAAACAAAAATCAAATATAAGAGAAATGAAATGCCCAGACAGATTATTGTCAGGTCTTTTGCTATAAACAGTCTTTAAGAGCACTTTGCTGTTCATAAACACATCAATTGTTGCTTGAGCTTTCTTTTGATTTCGCCACTTTATTCATCTACTTGTTTATAAATTCAAAGATAACTTTCTTTTCACTATGTGTAACTGTTAAACAGTTAATTGTTGATTCAATGTATAAATGAACCCTAAATGTGACATGGACACACCAATGACTCTTGCCTTTCTACAGCGTCACTTCGCAGTGTTTAGCATGCCAGCCCCACAAGATGATTCACTCAAGAACATTGTCCATGGCATTCTTGAGGTATGTTTTTTGTAACTCAAGATAAGTTCAAATATTTGTCTTTTTTTTTGTGAATGTAGAGTTGTGACACTTTCCAAGTGTATTCCCATTATATCAGCCTAGAGCCTTTCTATTGTAGATTAACCTTTTAAAAAGTATGGCTTGAAAGAATTAGAAGTGGTAAATAAGAAATATTATTTCAGCCCTCCATTGTTGATCTCTTCTGTTTCTAATTAGATTTTTGCTTCTCATTTATGGTGTACATATCAGGACCAAGGAAGATATTAATGTTTATGATTTGTGTAACATTCTTTATTCTCAGGCCAACATGACAGCTGGTGATGCCCCGGGCCTTGACCTTGACCTTCACAATGCGTTGGTCTCTGTGTCGTGTGACATGCTTGTGTCCATACAGAGTGTACTACGACCCACACCCATGGATGGCAGGCACCATTATCTTTTTACTCTCAAGGACATCACAAAGTGTTTCCAGGTTGATCTCTCCCCTGCTCTTTCATTTCTCTAGAAATTATTTTTATTTTTGTTAAGAGATCAAATTGTCTTTTTAAAAAAAAAAAAATCAGACTGGTTTTTAATTTTGTTTTAAAGAAATCCGACTGAAGACTGGTAATGGTAAGGGAGCTGGTTCCAAATCAGTTCAAAAGTTAAGTTTTTGAGTTGAATCAGAATTATTAATAAATTAGTCTCGTCCTTTTCGGAATGTTTCCTTTCAGATCTCAGCCTCTTTTTCTGTCATTGGAACTTGTATTCTGCTTTTAGAATAATCTGTTCTGAGTTTAGATGGATGGCTGAACCTCGATAACTACAAAATATAATTAATAAGTAGACAAAAGACGTTGCAGTTGAACACAAAGTCTATAGAGAATTGATAAACGTTGGTACAAAGGATGTCTGACATACCTTATATTGACTTCTGCAATAAATTCAACAAGAATATGCCTGTAGCAAGTTTTTTTCACAATAAATTCTTCAGTGTATGAGACGTCTGGCTGACGAGAGCAAAGCTGACGAGATCATGGTCATCTCTCTGTGGCGGCATGAGCTGATTCGAGTGGTCAGAGACCGCATCAGCCGCACGTCAGATCTCAACTGGTTTGACGATAAGCTGGACACGGTCATCAACACGGTGAGTTAAGACATAAAGGAACCCTTTTGTTCTTAAAATTTTCTTATTTCTAGATGTACTGATGATCCCTGGTTTTTACGCATCTTCCAAAGCAATTTATTTTCCATTTTAAAGTGTAATTATAAAGGGAAAGTTTGTTTATTGCAGAAAAAGACTTTAAGATCTTTTTCATACTGGTATCTTTACTGATGAGTTGCAAGAGTTGCTTTATTTATGTCTGATGAGTGATTTATTGAACCAGGGTCAGCATTTTTGATGGTGTAAATTAAAATTGTCAATTTTTTTAGTTATGCTCAGAAATGGTTTGCTTTGTAGCAGAATGGTTCTGTATCTTCAGCATCATTAAATGAAATTATATATAATAAGTAAACGTTATCTTGAGATGTAGCAGATCATTTAAATCTTCAATTAACTTTCCAATTTTCAGATGTGGAAGGAAATGGAGTCTGATGTTCAAGAACACTTTGTCACCTTTCCAATTGACACACGTGTGTTCCAACGGCCTGTGACTAACATGGGTACCAAGCAAGTTAGAGTGAGTAGCTTTTGCATATTGTGTCAACATTTTAGTGCTGCTTGTGAGCCCACTAGTTTTCCAGTGAGGTTCCTTTCGAATAGATTAATGTGATATTACTATTTTTCAGCTTGTCACTTCATTGTTAATATTATTTCAGATTTATTGTTATCTATACTCACTTACTTCAGCACAGTCATTGTTGTCATCTATCCAGAAGCTTTCTAATACTATTTTCACAATAATAAAAAGAAAAACACTGCTTGTATTCATTACAAGGGAGGGGACATTTGGATTTCAGTGGCATGCTCAGTACACTATGTAGAAACTATGTTAAGCTGACCTCTGTCACACTCTATGTAGAAGATAGAGAGGTAGAAGAATTTTGTCATTATGTTTTATTTATTCTTCCAGGTGTCCCTTCAGCCTGTGGAGAACATGGGAGACCTGCACAGCTGTCTTAACACTCACCTGACCCGCTACAACGAGGAGTTTGGCAACATCCGTCTCAACATCATGCTCTCCGACTACATCATCTCTAATGTGGTCCGCATGCACAGGATTCTAAGCTTCCATCATGGGTATGTTTATGCCCTGCAGATTTTGATTCCCCTGATATTCTTATAGACTATATTGGTACAGAATAATATTGGTATAGACTGATATTAATTCAGTGTGATCCTCATCATTTACATACCCCTGATCAGGTAGTAACTGACAATAAAGATCTTTATCTCACAGTACAGTTGATTTTTATGTACCAGGCACGTTTTTATAGACTACATAAAACATAGAATCATTATTTTCCTGACAGGCTGCCACTTCTTATTTTTTAAGGTATTCTAATAGTTATACTGACTGGAGTAGCTTCAGCTTTGGGAGAGTTACTTTCAAATTTTACTTGTATTGTGGCTTGAAGGGTCTATTCTTTGCAATTTTAGAACTATCAAGGGATTTCAGGTTTTAGCATGCGATGGCTAAATGCCTAACTGCTACATCAGAGACACCATTGTCTTTATTTCAAATCTGTGTGAAACAAATATAATATTATTGTGTATCTCTTTGCAGTGGCAACCTGCTGCTGGTGGGTGCTGTAGGCTCTCATCTGTCCACCCTGTGCCGCTTGGCCCTGCATGTGGCAGATGTCCCCATACACAAGATAGACACCTCCAAGCAGAGCAACTTCTTTGATGGCTTGCGATCAGCGATCAGGCTCAGTGGCTCAGAGGGCAAGGTCATTTCCCTCATGTTTACGGTAAGACGTTATACCTTTGGTTTCCATCATGAGACACATAATATTGACTGCTCAGTGTAAGACTCTATATTATGTCACTTTTCAAAGTGGCTTATGGCAGAGTCTTACAGCAAGCAGTTGATATGACTGCGTACTTGGTTTTGTACTGGTTTCAGTGTCATAGAGTTCTTGAACTGGAGCGATGAAATATTTTTTGGTTGAGAAAAGTGGAAAACTGTTACATCCAACACTTGTGAGAAGAGGGGTTTTTATGAAAAGGGAAGTAAACAGTTCTAAGATATGGCTTCATATCCAAATGAACTAACTTTATTAACTCTTTAAACCCCATCCGACGCTGGGAATGTCCAGCGGTAGTAACCCTGTTCCCCGTCGGATGCTGGGAGCGTTCGATACTAGTGACAACTGTTTCGTTTAATTTAGTTATAGCTTCTTCTTGTTTTTTGGAACTATTCCCAATCCAAGTTCTTTAGTAATGATTAAACCTTTGTTTCCGCAATTTAGAAGTTGGAGGCAAGCTTTTAGGGTTATAACGAGACATAGTGCACCAGGTTTAGGTGACTGAAGAAAAAACTCTGGGAAATGGGGGAAAAACTCAGGTTTTAAAGAGTTTTAAATTGTTTGAAAATTTTGCTACCAGCCTCCCCTTGAAATAACAGACACTCATAAATGAAATCTGTTTTTCAACATAATATTTTTTAAATCAGCTCTATGGATCCGAGGGCATGCCTGAGTGTGCATGACCACCACCCATCTGTGCACTGAAGTGTGTGGGGATGTACATCCAGCAGTAGTCCTAAAGGAGCTCAGGTGTATACTTCATGCAACTCAAGGGACCTGTACTGTGCTCTTTAGGTGCACAAGGGATTCCACAATATTATGCACCCAATTTGAGGTGGCGAAGGGTGTTACCTTATATGACTATAATTCCCTTAACTATTGATGGATTTGTGTCTGTGAGCACTAAAACTATTCTTATATTAACAGAAAATCATGGTGTGAGTGAAAATAGGTAGTAAAAGTAGCTCAGTATCTTGGGGTTCACAAAATCGGTAGGCCTACCCCCAAAACACCACTGAAGTGGTGATCTGGAATCAAAGACTTAATACTTCTCAAAGGCTTTTCCTGACAATGGGGGTGGGGTGTGGTTGGGGGAAAGGGGGGCGGGGGTGTGCCGTTCCGTCCATTTGCCACACACTTCACCTCTCAGCTCTGTCCTCTTCTTGACAGGCCCGTGACCTAGAGGACCCCACCTACCTGGATGCCCTCAACAGTCTGCTCATCAGCGGCGAGTACCCGCACCTGTTCTCCAACGACGAGATGGACGGTCTACTGCAGGCCATCCACCCGGCCATGAAGAGGGAGTTCCCCAGCTCCTCTGTGGATCCCATGAAGTTCTTTGTGTCCCGCGTCAAGAGCAATCTACACCTGCTCATCTGTCTGCCTCCTGGGCATGAACTCTTGACCAATGCCGCAAAGTAAGCCGGACATAATGGAAAATCCATTTTTAACCCTCAAAGTGTCGTGACAGATCTGCGTTAAGCTGACAGAACACCTTTTTTCATTTTTCCCGCCACGTTTTTTGTTGTTGCGAAATCGAAAGCCTGATTGGTTACCCTACTTATGTGAAAAAAATCAAGTCAAACTGTGACTAGTTTTTTAATAAAGTAGAATTCAAATTTTGGAAGAATGCTTTTTTTTAATGTTTAACCTGACAAAAATCCTGTTTATTTCGAAACTGCTGTGAATAGAAAAAGGCGTTTTGTCAGCTTACAGCAGAGATAACCTGTGGTGTTAGGGGAAATTATATGATTACCTGTGAATTTGCATGAGTTACAGCACTTTGTGACAAGGTGTCTCTTTTGTATTATGATATAGCATTGCTCCTTTCATACTCAGTATGGGATTTCTCAATTCATTTACACATTGTCATTAAGCACAAAGAGCAAGCTGTAAGGCATTGATATGTGTTATAATAATAATGCAATTAAACAATGATAACAGTAATAACAATAATAATAATAATAATAAATAGCAGTTATGCTGCGCTTTTCCATTTTCAAAAAAATGCTCAATGCGCATAGTGTTCTTAAAGATATCACATTTAAAAATTCATTGAACATGTTTGTACATGAAACATAATATTATGTTTATATATGTATATATGTATACAACATTTCTGTGAGAAAATTCTCTATATAAGAAAATGATAAAAATATAAATGTTTCTTTGACTTCCTCAGCAACTTCCCTGGGCTCCTGATTGGATGTCAGATGAGCTGGATGTGCGACTGGCCTCAAGAGTCGCTGCTGGGAGAAGCCTTGTACTTTATCACCAAGCATCAGCTGGCGGAGGAGTTTGAAGATCTCAGGTATTCATCTTCTTGACATTTTACTTTTCATCATCATGGTGTGTTGCGGATACCCTTGCAAACAGACTTTTTTTAAAGTGTCTAATCAACATTTTTATCTTTGTCATCGTCCAGGTTGTCATCATAATGATCATTGTGTCATCAACATAAAATCGTCGTCATCAAGTACTTCATTTTTTTCCTCTAAAAATTCTGTGTAAGCAGTGAAGTATTTGCTGCACTTGTCCCAGAGATTTAGGGCAAGAATCTTTAAATGATGAAACCGGATCTATGATAATAAGTTTCTTTTAATTTAACTGCCTGTTGTGTTGTAAAGAATTATTCTTTCAGATCAGTAGAAATTGATATTTTAAGTTATTTAAAATACAATGTCTGAAATAGAAACAAGAGGAAAATAAGGAAATGCCATTTCTACCCCACCTTGTTCATAAAGAAATTAAATTCTATATCCTTTTGCCTCTTTGACAGAGAAAGCATCACCACCAGCCTGGCCAACATCCATAGTTTTGTGCTTCGTGACTGCAAGCAGATGCCGTGGGCAGGTGATCTCAGCGCAGAGATATCACTGACCACCATCAAGGTGCATGAGAAGAAGAAAGATCAGCTGAAGATACAGACGGTTTCAGTTCCAAACTTGCCGTACTCCAAGGTCATTCTGCAAGAGAGAATCAGGTAAGAACAAATATTTGATTTGTGTAATTTTTTTTTCACCTTTTCTAGGTCACATTTAATTGGCCTTTTTTTTGTGTAACCTGATTCTTTTTTACTTTTTTTCCTCAGTGTTTTTTGTTCCTGCCTCACTTTTTTAAAGAAAAGAACTTGCATGTAACTTTCGCTGTATCAGTCTGGAATGCAGACTTTCTGAAATCTTTATAGGACCTTTCTGGAACACTGGGATGTTTGAAAAGTTTTCTTGGCTCTCCACCCACTTGACTCAGTCCTGGTACACATGGATAATTAAGTGAGAGGTCCTTTCTCTTCCATGATGTTTTTGTGCTGAGAGAAGTTGGAACTCATTTAATTGCTATACCGTACACATGTGCAAAAAAGGTCTTGTTCTTTGTCAGACAGCAGACACATAGCTATCTGTGGAAAACAATAATATGAATGTGTATTCCCCTACCTTTGAAATGCTCTTGGGGATATCAAACTCTCTCAAAGCCAGAAATATAAACTGATCATGCATTTTTTTTCAGGCTTAACCACAAAGACTCAGAAGCTAAAGCCAAGAATGAAGTGTACGTTGGACCCACCACCTACAGAAGGTTCATGGAGAGTTTCCGGTATCTGTACCAGTGGAAGTCTGAGGAGAGGACCAAGACAGTGGAACAGCTCAAGTAAGTGTCAAAACTCCCTTTTCTATTTTGTTGTATATAATTACCTGGCCCAATGACCTGAGCGCATGCCTTTGTTTGACTACCTTTACTCTTCTGTATATAAAATACATGCCATGACTAGCTGTTCAAATGTACTAAGCTTAACATTTTGAGAAATATTTCATTGCAATTTCTTAATCTGTATTACTGGTTGCAAGTGCTTGTGGAACATTTTTTCGAAATTTAAATTCTATTGTAAAAAAAAGAGAGGAAATATACATGATGGCGGGAAAATTTTAAAAATATTGAATCCTACTCCCGAAGAATATTGCATCCTGAGTTTAGAACAGTTGAGTAGCTTGCAGACGATACAGTGCAGTATATCTAGCAGGCAGACCATTGGAGCTAAGGTGCTCGAGTCCTGTGGGCTCAGCGGATCAGAGCTTAAAGGGTTCAATATACTTAACTATCATCATGAAATAATATTTTCATCATTGAGAAATGAGTCAAGGTTTAATTTTAGTAGACTGTTGTTGGATAAGTATTATCTCTGATTTCTTTCCCAAAGGTGAAGAACTCTCGCTGCTCTCTCTGCTTTTTTCTTCTACCTTTAAGTGATTCTTAGAGGGTTAACAGTTGAAAACCATCACTTTGTAATGTTGGTACATTTTTTTATCCAGTTGACTTTTGAATCAAGTTTTGTATCCAAAAGATTGAGATCCTGATATCAATTTTGGTTATTATTTGAAGACATCTTTTAAATTTTGGAATCAGTGTTTTATGAGTTTTAACACATTTTTCCCCCCACACTGCTATTGATATATCTGCTTTCAGGAAAGTGATCACAACATTAGACAAGACAAGAGCCGATGCGAAAGTGATGAAGAAAGGCATCAAGACAATCACGGGAAAGTTTGAGGATGCCAAGAAGAACACGGCAGAGCTGCTTCATAAGCTGACAGCAAGAGCCACCATGCTGGAGAAGTTGAAGGCGAAAGTGGGCCTCAGCAAGTCACTGGATGCATATCTGCAGCTGAACGAGCTGGATGTGGAGGAAGAGGAGGAAGATGAACTGCTCAAAGAAGGTAAGTTACCTTCCTGCTCTTCTCAGTGGTTTGGGAGGTGATAAATACAATTGAACCTGCTCTAATGACCACCTTTCTAAGATAATCACCTGTGCAAATGACCACTTAATAATAATAATAATAAATAGCATTTGTAGAGCGCATATCCCCGCTCAACAGCAGGCTCTATGCGCTTTACACTATATTATTACCCCAGCAGACCATAGAACACTCCGAAACATTCTCAGCTTCCCAGGAAGCATACAGTGCAAGCAGCTGATTAAGCGCTCAAACACTAACAAACTGACAAGATCTTTCGCTGTCTATAGCTGGGTACCCATTCCCACCTTGGTGAAGTGAGGAAAATTCGTGTAAAGTGCCTTTCCCAAGGACACAACGTCGGGTCCCTGACGGGATTCGAACCCACGACCTTATGGTTGCGAGTCCGAGAGCCTAACCAGTAGGCCACCGACACCACTTCTCACTTCCCCCTTGTGTTTTTTTCTTTATTATGAGGACACTGTCCAAGAGGACCACCTATCCAGGATGACCACATTTCTCCTCTACACAGATGGCCATCTTGTACAGGTCCAACAATATATGTACTGTATACCATGAAGAAGCCATATGATATTCTCTTTGTGTCCAGCTCTTATCCATTCCAACATGGACTCGAATCTCCTTTCATTTTCCTTTACAAGTTTGTCTTGTGTAATAAATTGTCTTCTGATTAGGCCATGCTGCCCTGTGACAAATTTCATGGAAGAGAAGTTTTCTTTTATTTTTCTCGGTGGGTAACCTTTTTTTTCTCTTCTGTGCAGTAATATGGTATAAATTATACCATTTTTCGTTTTGTGCATTTAATTTCTAAGCCCCATATTTTGTTTCCAAGCTCACTAGTGCTACATTTCTGTTGTCTTGATGCAGCTGCTTTATGCTAGGATTTAGACTGGTTCAATGGGACATCATAGTGTACATTTTGTTTTCTGACATATTAACCACTGGACCCTCGATTGTATGCCGATTTATTCTTCAGAGGAGTACGATGACTACGATGCTGAGTTTGACCGCATGAGAGAAGCCACGCTAAAGACGCGTCAAGTTCAGGCAAAAGAGGAGCTCTCAGAGGCACAGAAAAACCTAGAAGAATGCAGGTCCAATCTTGCTTATGCCCGTGAGCAGGTAATTGGCAATGACCACTTTCCATTAGCTGTGGTGGCTTTGATAGCTGTCCCTTTATGTAGAAAGCTTTCCTTTTACAGCATTTAGAAAATCAAGGTTTACTTTTCTTACCTAGTGGCCTCTTGACCTTGCATCTTTTATCTTAATGCTTATTAGTTTTTCTTAGTTGGCAGCTTAGAAGTCCAGAACACTTTCCAATGTCAAGTTTTGAGGCCATATGTTTACATAGGAGAGGTAATGTTACTGTTTTTTACGGGTTCAGATAGGGTTTCTATTTGGATTTATGCTTTTGTTTGAGTGAGCCTTCCATGGACTGACAACGGGAAATAATGAAAGATGATGATCAGATGTGTAAATTGAGAGAATATTTGTAAAATGCAATAAGTTTAACATAAAGAAAACTGAAAATGCAAGTTCCCAACTAAATTGTATGCATAAAATTACTAGCAAGGAGGTTTTCTCATCAACGTCATCATGAATGTTCTGAGCCAGATTTGGAAGAAATAAATCAATGTTTTCACCAAAATAGAACTCAAAAAAAGTTTGTTAATGACTTCTCAAAATCATACTTAGATAAGTGCTTCCAATATCTGCTTGCTTGTTTTAATTGAGGAACATAAATAAACTTGAAAGGCAAATAGCTTTCACGTTTGGGCTTTTTAGGGTAAACTAATACCCGTTTTACTTTTTTTCATGCTCAGGTTACCTTCTGGAAGAACAAAGTGGATCGGTCTGTCATTGAGCACGTGAGAGCTTTTGCCAACCCTCCACTGTTGGTTGGTCAGGTCATTGAGATGGTGATGGTTCTGATCGGCAAGCGTTTGCCTTCTCAGAGAATTGCTGAGGTCAAAGAGTCATACCCAGGCAAGGAGGACCTGTCCTCCAGGATGTCTTCTAGCTCCAGCAGTACAAAACTGATTGTCAAGAAATGTAAGTAGCATCTGAAATACTTAGAATTTTTCTGTTCTTGTAAGGGATGATTGGCGTTTCTAGCTCGTTTGCATAAACGCTAAAGAGTATGATGTTGTTATATGGTGTCCTTTCTGTATGCTTCATCCTCTCATTACTTTTATCATCTTTCTTTCATTCTCTTGACTTCAGTCTCAAAGTGCTATATCCACCCTAAATAACCTGTTTATTTCATTTTCTATCTGTGGTTCCATGTTTCAGAAGAAGATGGCAGACAGATGACAGATTATAGATGGGTCCACTTCCCCATCTTTTTTTATATAGTTATGTGCCTGTTACTGTTTTTCTTTAGAACAATTATTCTGAATTGTGTAATGCACATCTCTGCTCGAAAGTAGGCTCTATACACTTCACAACCTTGATTGACAGACCATATAATGTTCTGAAACATTCTTCGCTTCCTGGGAGGTTTTCAGTGCAAGCTGCCATTTTACTGGCACTCAAACATGAACAGAGCTGAAAAATTCTATCACTGTGTACTTAATCTCTTTTATTGAATTAATAACCAAAAGACAATGTTTACTGGTACATTTTTGTCAGCTGTTGGTTTTCGTAAATCTCCAAAAAGGTGAGCACACTTCCTTTATTTCAATTCACTTTCTTGAATGGGGGAACCATTTGCTCTTCGCTACATTTTATTGCAAGACCCAGTGAGTCGCAAGTTTCGTAATTTTCAACTTACATGACTCTTGAAAGGCAATAAGAGTCGGTACGGAAGCCCAAACGGTTTCTGTCTTGGTCTGTATGCAATTTGTCTGTCCTGATTCTTGACTTACTTATCAACGAACATCACACTTTGTATTTGCAGCGGTGAACAGAGGCTCAGGTTAGATTTTTCTGCAGTGAATTGGCTTCTTTTTTTGTTTGTTGAGAACTTTGTCTTACAGAAAAATTGCTCTAGTCTACTTCAAAAATTTTTGGATGAATCCTTTGCTTAGAAGTCTTATTTTGTGATTCGCACTTGACATGTTCAACACTTTGTTTCATTTGTTTAACTGGAATTTATGACTGTCGATGTCTGGTTGTTTTTTGTTTTTGTTTCGATTTTTGTTAAACCTACACAACTAACATAAACGTACACTGCTCTTTGTTCATATTATACAAAACACATGAGGTTATTTTATGTTTGTTGAACTTTGTTAGAATTTTGTAGTAAACATTTGTGTGGTACTTAAGTTTAGGTGATTGTGTTGAATGTTAGAATATTTTTTTAAATTTCTCTATAATATGGCAAATCTCACAAAGTACAGAATGTTTCACTTATATTACGGGTAGTGCCACTTAATAGCCTTGCAAAATCCTAAAACTTTAAGATAATGTTATCACTATAAATGAACACTTTGTTGGTTTCTTTTGTCAACTTTTCAGTCATGTCTTTGAGAGGTAATTTCTTGAACAGAAAGATATTGAACTTATTGCTTGATGCATGTGATTTTTCATCTGTTCAGATTCTGAACATGACCCGTAGTTTAGAAGAAATTATGAATTTTTTTGTTTTGTTAGTATTTTTAATAGACCCATATATTTGTCACTGTGTTTTGAGTGTCATTAATGTAGTAAGGGCAGCTGTAATCCTGAGAAGTCTTGCTCTGCTCATGTCATGGCATGGTTCTCAAAGTGTGCTTTTTTTAAATCATAGGTAATTTTTTCCCCCTGTGTTTACAGCTTTTAGAACAACCCATAGAACAGCAATAAGTGCGAGAAAGTGAAATAACTGACAAAAATGTTTAATTTCCTATCTTATGAGGGTACTGAATTTAAAAGTAAATTGCCTACCTCTCATGCTGGGTATCTGGTTGATACTTTCTCAGCTTGTGAATGTATAAAGTCAAGGGTTAACTTAAGATTTGAATTTAAAAAAATTTTTTTTAACCTCAATAGAAATATTCAGTGTTTCTGAATGAAGGTGGAACAGTCAGAGGTCATGTTTTCCTATTGTGGGATAAAAATCGCCTTGGTTGTTGAGCATTTTTAATGAGAAGATGCTAGGGTCAACTGCTGGGGCAAAAGTCTGACCTTGATCCTTACCCAGAAGTTCTTGTTAGTAGAAATGGTCAGGAGTCATCATCATCAGATCAGTGTGCTTACTCCCCCCCCCCCCATACCACACACACACACTCACACACACTCATATCCCTCCCCCACTCCTTTTCAATCCCTGCTATCCATCAAACCCTGAACAAACAAAAAAGCAAAATATAGGCCCACAAAAAATTCCTCCAGATTTCAGTAGGCCTTCTTCTCCAGCTTTCTCTTCTTTCCCATGTTTCATGGCTCTCTGTATCAAAGACAAGATAGGGAACCGGGGGAGCTTGTCACAAGTGGTGTTGTAGTTCTTGGTTCCAAGATTTGGCTTCAAGATGTCATTGATTAGAAAGACTTCTTCAGTAACTGAAGAATCTTTCTCTGCACAGGATAATTTAAAAATGTTTTCACATTTGGATTGTTGTAGTTGTACGTTTGGTGTGGGATGTGTTTGCACTTCTGAAGAATGGCTGCACTTTGAAGTGTGTAATGTATGGCCTTGAAGAAATTAGGGTATCTGAATGCATGCTCAATCGTTTGTTGTTTCTGTTTTCAATATAACATCTTTTGTCTCAGTATTCTAAGAAGGGAATACTTACTTTAAACGCTTCGAAAACTTGGACTGTTCTAGTCAAAATGTGGAAAAGGAATTTTAGGTTTTGTTATAATTTCTTCTTTTTTTTCTTCTTATATCCTTTAATAGATAAAGACGTGTAAGAGCAGATTTCAAAACAAAGAAATTCACACGAATTTCTGACCTCACAAGTCAAAACTTATTACGAGATACGTATGTGAGGCAGCATGATGAAATCAAGCACTCATCAAAATAATCAAAGTCAAGAAACTGGCATTTTTCCGCACGTTTGGGAATTTTTATCGAATTTTCTTTTTTTGGCTCCACACCTTTTATGCCCTTTAAAGAAGACATTTCTGTGTGGATTTTACTGAAAAACGTTAATTAAAGGCATAAAAAATGTTAAATGTTTGTTCCCAGATCTCTCAAGCTAAGAAAATAACTCAATTTTGGCGGCCATTTTCTTGCTGATTTTTAATTTTACTTCTGAAACCAGCCGACCTCCCCTATCTCCTTCAATCACTCATATTTTGACTTGTATCCAAGATAAATGGATATATTTTTCACAAAGAGCAAGGTAAAGGAACAGGCTTTAAGATGATACCAATAATCCAATATGCCCAAAAATTGACGAGCTCCTGTTTCCATCACGCCATGACACTTGAATAATGAAATGTGTGAATGATATTACTATGATGTAGAAAGCAATGTTGTTTTTTTGCCAATAGAAACTATTGATATTTTGTATTCATATTTTCTTTTTTGTTTACGTCTTACATAGAATCATATCAGGGAACATAGCACGCTCATTGTAATTATTAGTGACGTCAATATACACTTTTCTTTATGTAGTGACATAAAATGTGGTTGAACTTTTCAACCTTTAGTGAGTTCATTGTTTTAAGATTCACGAAGTTTCGATTATGAGTTAATCTTTATACAAACCTTGCAAGTGTGGTGTTTGAAAGCAAAACCCAATAATTTGTCAAAGCTTTTTTTAAAATTACCTATGCTGTAGTTTTTTATGTCTTTTTAATGTAGCTTTTTATGCCATAAAGTCTATCTGAAACGGGGAGAAAAATAAAAGTTAAAACAATACTTCGTTGAATGGGGGAAAAAAATGTCAGTATATAAGATCTAGTCACAAAATTCATCCCTTATTACTATCACCAAATGTTTCTTTTATGAAATGAGTTGTCTGATGAGAACTGATGTTGTGAAGATAACTGGATTATTTGATTATTTTAGTCTTTATTGTATTCCCTTCGTGCAAAAGAGACAGTCTTATCAAATGTCCTTAGCTTCAATTTTCCAGATTTTGTCTTGTGACTCAACTGAGCTGATCTGTAACTATAATGTTTAGCCTTCAGGAGATTCTGGGGTTCATGCTTCCAAGAGTCTGCTGTGTCTTTTACTTATTTTACTTTAGTATTTGATGGTTATGTTCAGGTAATAGAAAGTTGCATATATAAGATCTGAAATGCTAATTTCTTTTTGTGCATGAAATGTTCATTCTAAATTTGATTTGGTAGTAACTGGTATGTGAATATTTGTTTTGTTTCATTTGATGTAGCAAAAGCCAAAGAGGGAAGCGACAGATTTGACAAGACACAGTGGAAGAGCATGCAGCAGACGATGACTGACTCCATCAAGTTTGTGGACATGTTGCACAATGTGCCCTGGGAGGATGGCCTGCCTGGTGACGTGCTTGCCGGTCAGTTTCCTTTCTGTTCACTGGACAAATTTAAATGCTTTTAAATTCTTGTTTCACCTTTTTTTTTTTCTTAAAGTTTCACTGGAAAATTAACTAATTTTTTTAATGTAAAGGTTAGGTGCTTCCCTGTTGCACGCAGGAGACCCAAGTTTGATTCCCAAATTGGGCAAATAATTTCTATCCAGTATTTCAGTCTTTATGCTGAGATGTATCACTCTCAGCCCAGGTTGGCCCTGACAGGCAAGGTCAGATGCCTATCTCCTAGGTGATTTGTATCGTGTCAAAGGGAGCATAAAACACCTACATTTAAGGGTGGGGGAATGGAAATTTCATTGGAATATTACACATACTCCTGCAGAAATATCAGTGTATAAAGTATGCAACTTTTGCATTTTTTACTTCTAGCAAAACTTTTGTATGGTCAGGCGTGCTAGAATCTCCTTTGATATAATGTATCTGATGTGGATATGAAAAGAAATTAATGTGCTTTCCTTTCACAATCAATGCTGGTGTAGTTCAAAGTTGATGCATGGGATGTGTATTGTAATCATAGGTCTTTTTGTTATATTGTGTCTAGTTTGTTGTAAATTTGATGGAGCAATAATTTATACAACAACCACAACAGCTTCAGTAACTGTTACTACAATATCAAATTTATGATTCAGAATTATAACGCCTCTAATCTTTAGCACTTGTATGACATAACTGTGTTGCAAGTGCCATAAAAGTCTTATCAAAAAAGCAACAAAAAAATTATAAGAAAAAGCTGTTCTGTTACCCCTCAGCCGTGGAGAGCTACCTGGCCTGTAGCAGAGATGGACAGCTGGGCGTCACAGGAGAAGGAAGCCTCTTGGAAAACGCTCAAGGTATGAAAATATTTGTATTATGTTCACTCTTTTTCCTTTCCTCCCTCCCTTTCCTCTCTCTCTCTCTCTCTCTCTCTCATAATTTTAGCTATATTCTTGTTAGCTCATTTGGAAACATACTGGACAGCTGTGAGGGAGACTCAAATGTTCTTCCCTATCCAAGCCTTCTTTTATTTTTTAAGTCCGTAAGACTTAACTTTCTGTGTAATGTTGTAGGTGAACACCCCTACTATCTCCTCCAAACATCTCCATGGACACAAAAAGACAGCTTTTCACTTCAATATTCCTTTACTTATTATGCTGCCAGTTCCAGACCTGGACATTAAGTAAAACCCATGAAAGCAAAATCACTGCATGCGAAATGAAATGTCTCTGCAAAACTCTTAACATCACAAGACGAGACAGGCAGAGAAATGAAGAAGTAAGAGCAGCTATTGGCCTGCCTGCATTAAGTAGAAAGACAAAGAATAAAGTGGTTTTGCCACCTGTTACCTATGTCACCTCTCCAGCCAGCCTCGAGAGCCTACAACACCAAGCACTCAGGCTATAAAGGCCAAGCAAAAAGTGGATTGATGGTGTCAAGGAAACCCTGAGAAAACATGGTATCACTACTGAAAGAGCTGCGGAGCTGGCCTGCCATAGAAGGCTGTATCTCCCCTCCACGCAACAGAGGATGAAAACGTAAAAACTAAAAGTAAAGTAAAGAACATTAAAAGATCTTTTTGTATTGAAAGGGTTATTAGACCCGTACTATGCATTACCACATCCTTGTGTTTTCTCAGACAAGCATTTCCTGGCAGTGAAGCAACGCTCACCATCCCCCGGAGCACGCGGTGGCCTCACCATTGCTGGTGCCAAGTATGCCAGTGAGGACTGTGCTACTCTAGTACACTACACCATCGCCATTGTGGAGTACACTCGCCTCTGTGGCCCGCTCAAGTCAGCGCTGGAGCGTCTTCATGAGCTGGAGAGGGAGATTGAGGAGAATGAAAGACTGCAGAAGCAACAGGAGGAAGAGGTGAGAAATCACAGCAGATTCTTTTATATGTATGGCAGTGAACTTTTCTAAACTTTTAAACTCTTTTCTACTTTTAATATATCACACCAATTAATTGTTTGCGCTGTTCATAAGAGTTATAATCCCAATATCAAAAGTAGGTCATCAGGAATATTTTATTGAGAGGGAAATTTAAATTGAAAGATTTTATAGTTCATGGAATCGATATCCTAAGCATATTTTTTTCCAGGCATCAGCACATATTGTGGATCTACGTTTCGGCTTTGTGAATTGAAGCCTCCTTGTATTACCAACATCTACCCTCAGACATTTTATTTCGTTTGCAGGACTTACCACAAAGAACAACATTGTCTTGAGTTGCCTTTTTTTCTGCTGACCCTTGATAGCTGTTAAATGAATAGCTATTTCCAGTTTAAAAGTGTCAAACACTCAAATTTTGACAGAACTTTCAGCGTGGCTTACAGCATGGGAAAGTAAAACTTCCTACATAAAAAGCTGTTTTGTAAAAGATCATATTAACACTTACAGGTTGTTTATTGTATATGATATATTTGTGACGCTTTGCAGAAATGTATGCATGAGCTATGCCCAATATTTTAATCTGACTTTTGAATATTTATTTTCAAGTTAAAAATTATTCAGTATTGTCCCTTATCTCAGTAATGCTTATGGCTGATTGGAAGATGAAGACTCTGATTTTCTGTACTAAATAGCACTATGTTTGCAGTGATGGTTCATAACAGCATATATTGTGACTGCTTCTTGCAATTTTGTGTGATCTTTGCTTAATACATATAATTATATCCAGTGGTTATACCTGGATTCTTTGCTGGAGATTGTATGCACACATAAATATTTCTAGAAATGCTATTTATCATGTGTGGGTTTGGTTTCTTACAAAAGGTACTAATTTAAAATTATTGTTTTCTACCCTTTAGATAAGATTGCGTTTAGAAAAGGTAACGTTTGTTGATGTAGTGGTTTTGGCTTTCTCATTCGTTTCATTGCTCTGATGTTCAAGCTCTAAATTCTCTTGCTTGAGTTTCTTGATTTTCACCTAATGGAGACAAAAACTAGAAAACAGAATTTTCTCTTTCAGATTTTAAATGTTCCTTCTATTCATTTGTTTTTACTGAATAGTGCTTCTCTGAGATGTAAATCTAATTTTGATTGGCTCATCAATTTTTTAATCTCTCTGTTGTTGCAGCTGTTTACGCTTCCAGATTTTGTTGTGGTTGGTTCTTCCATGTTGTTCCAACATCGTTATTGTGATAATTACAGCATGGAGTTTAATAGCCTTCAGTAATGGCATTACTTTTTTTTAGTAGACGACTTAATGAGCCCAAAGAATGGGCACCATGTTTTGTATTTGTTGTAGTTACCTTTGCTTTATTTTCGTTTATATATTTTTTTTCTGCTTTCATCTGAGACTCTTGAGCATGAGTTTTGTCACATCATTCTGACCCCCCCCCCCCCCCCCCCCTCTGATTTTCTTCTCTTTCATTTAGTTGTTTTCTTTATCTCAGTTTTGCACATTTTTCTGCATCATGGCCACTATGCTTTTGTTAGCTGTTCCATGTCTGTCTATTCTTCTTTTCCTTGTGTGATATCTTACCATATGGGGCTACCTTTATTTCATTTCTGTTGCATAATACTTTCTGCTTGAATGACACAGTGGCACTTAAATTTGACTCCCAGAGATAATCATTTCAGTCCTCATCTTCTTCCTTTTAATGGTCACTTCAGTCTGGAATGTTCTTTGCAGTTTTGTTTGCGTTTTACTTGTATTATGCATGGTTTGTATAGTTCATGATATCAGTCTTAGTGGCAATGGACAAAATGTCTGCAATTATTCCTTAGTGTGTGTGTTTTTTTGTTTTCTTGGGGTTGGTTTGTTGGGGGGGGGTTTGGGGGGGAGGGGGTTCTGTTTTTTGTTGGTTTTGTTTTTTTTGGGTTTTTTTGCTCAAGCGTAAACTCCTCATCCTTTAAGTTCCTTGCCTGTCATCTATACAATATATTTATTAAAAGGTTTGGCTGCAGTTGTAATTGCAAATCATCATGTATCCCTTACAAAAAAATATTTTTTGAATAGACTAGTAGGGCCTATCCTTCTTTCAGCACTGCGTTTTTGTCTTTTAAAATAAGAACTTTCATCAAAGCTCTTTTTGTACGTCTGTTCCTTATTTCATGTTTAATTTGTTTTTTCCTTTGAGATGGTTCTGCAACTTTATAATATTTTATTTGACTTTCAGTCTGAAGCATAGTCTCCTTGTAGTTCCACACCTTTCCTCAACTTAATATTTGACTTACACTTTTTCATCAGTTTCACTAATATTTTTGTGAAATAAGTACACATTAGCCATATTCTTTTGCAGTTCTGACATCATATGAATATCTTGATACTTATAGGTTTGTGGGTGGTTGGCGGGTGGTCTGGTGTGGCTTGCTTCTTCTTTCCTATCAAACATCTATCGTCTCTATCTCCCCTCCTTCTTTTTTCTGTTTGTTACTCTCTTGTAACACCTCTAATCTTTGTCACTTATATGACCTTATTGTGTTGCAAGGGCCGTAAAACTCTTACTAAAACTAAACTATAGGTTTGTGGTTTGGGTGGTGTTGTAGAAACATGGTATACATGGGGGGAATACACTTTTTTAAAATAATGCCTTTATGCTCTAACGTTCAGTAAGGAATGCCTAAAGAAAGATAAGACTGAGAGAAATTGTTGATACTGCTGTAAAATATTTCTTACTTTTATCTGAATTTTTATTTAATGTTATTTTTTCCAAATGGCAGATGTTCACACTACTGTACTTTTATCTTAAGCTGTTGATGGGCCTACTGAAAAAAAAATTACTCTTACCTTCAAAATATGGCCCTTCTGCCGTGAGCAAACTTTGAAGCTGTCCAATGAGATTTTTTTTTTTTTTCGATTTTTTTTCCATGACGCTGCTTAAAAGTGTTGGGGTTTTTTTTTACAAGAAAATTTGTATTATCCGAATCCCATAATCTTTTTCATAAATTAATCTTTTTCTTCCCATTGTATTTTATGTGTTGTGGCTATCCTGTTCAAATCACAATGCAAAAAAATATTGTGTTAAAAACATGTTGCTGAACTCTCATGAGCACCAATCTTGCTTCTCTTCTCCCACATTTCTCTTTGCTATGATGTTATGTTTTTATTATGGTAAATTGATATTTAAAAAATTTTAATGGGTAAACATTCCGGTTGTTTTTAATTAACAAACTGAACTCTTGCAGGAACTTTGTATTATAAATCACAATAAGCTGAAATTTATTCATCTGTAACTTGTAATGGGTTTGGTCTAATTGATTATTATTACAACAGGTGCTTTGAAAAAAGTCCAAATTTTGAAGCTATCTGGCTATTTTTTGTTTTAATCACTTTGTTCATGTCTATGTAATTGATGCAATATTTCCATCTTGCTTTTCTCAAAACTGACCTTGCGAATACTAAGATGGCATTGCTGTCCCAAAAGGTAAATGCTCATGGTGCATGTAGATATATTATGTGATATATTTTTATTACTGGGAAGTGTGGCTTATTGCTCCCTTCTCACCTTTTGTAGCAGCTGTTCCATTGATGTTGTGTGCTGGTTATTTTAAAAGAAAAGTCGCACGCTTGAATAGTTTTACTTTTTAAATTTAAGAGCATGGTTGGTTGTGTTCAGAAAGACGTCATTCGTCTATGTGACAGTGATGGAAATGTCGAGTAGGTTTTCAGAAACTGTTTGACAGATAGTCCTTTCCCTATAGCCTAGACGAAAAAGGTTGGCGAAAATGATTCTCCGGATGTCCCCAAAGATAGCATAGGTAGTTTCATCAGCATGTTGAAAGTTTCTCCACTCGTCATCGTAATGGGGTGGTGGATCAAACCGCTTAAGTTGTTCTTGGGATAGTAGGCCTTGGTTTAAATTATCAAAAGCTTGAATTTCTTGACAGTGAATGCATGAAACTTAAGCCGAAGTGGATAAGTCACATCCATCATCAAAATGTCAGAATCAGTCTCTGAGTTGTATACGCATTTGTTGTTTAGGGCACCACTGGTTTTTAATAAAAATACACTTGTCAAAAATTAATGTTATGTTAACCCTTTATGATTTGTTCCACCTTTCTGTTATTCTCAATGCCCCACTTCCAAAATGTATGTTATTCTGTTTTCTGGAAAAATTCTTTACTAATTTTATAGTATAGACTTACAAAGTATAGCTGGAAGGTTTGTCCGAAACCTTTTATACTTCGTGTTTGCTGTCTTGTTCTTTTGTTTTACATAAGTCTAATACACTTTGTTTTCGCTGAATATAATATTTTGCTTTGTTCATCGACTAACCCACAATTTAATTTGTTTTTCCTCCCTATTGTTGTTGTGACAAATGTGCAGCGTTTTCCCCGACATAAGACCACTAAGGTATCTACCATCTCTTGTAGAACAACGACATTGTCTGTACCTTGTCAATGATTGACATAGCTCTTTATTGTTTCCTTCACATGTGCAGGTTCAACAGGCGCAATATTTGATGTTTACTTTGCTGAAGAGACATAATTTCCCCTTGAAAGTTTTTTTTGGACCTAAACAGCTATCTCGTTTCTTCCTTCCCCCACTCCCCCAAAAAATGAATAAATAGATAAATAAGAATAAATCAAACTACAAGTAAATGTTTTACGATTACAATTTCACACACCTCATGAAGAGTAATATGTATATTCTGAAAAGTCATCTTAATAGATCTGCAAATGAAAAGGTCATATGTGCCTGTTAAATCTCACACACTGGTGTTTGTTGCAAAGTTTATCTTTTATGTTCTATCATTCAGATCTGAACTAGATGATTTGGTGGTAGTATTTGAATGATATAGACGAATTAGTTGGCACTGCCTCGGCCTGGTATCTTCTCCACCAAATTTTACCAATCTCAAAAAAAATGAAAAGAAAGAAGGGAAATGTATATCACCAACTCTTGCACTCATATCAAATACAGATTTAGTCTATGGTTTGTATCAGACACTTTCTAGTAGAATCTGAAATGGGCTGTCATTTCTCAATGGTTAAACAGGTGCTGATATTGGTTTTCTTGAAGAATTTTGTTTTTTACACATTATTAAATGGTTTTATTGATTTTGACCTACCACTTTTTCTTTCTAAATTGACAGCTGCATAAGAATGTGATCAGAGATTGATTTGACAAGATTTGGAAAGAGGGGACACGTTCTCACTTTTTGTAAATCGTTAGTGTTCTCAAAGTTTAGCCAGAGAAGTGTCACCATAGCGAACCATTGAGAGTTAACAGTTGTAAATGAAGTAATGTATCATTAGATCATGCACCTGTGGAATTAGGCCACCCCGTTTTGTTTTCAGTACTTCTTTTTCAGTTTCAAGTTATTGTTTATTATTGTTTTACTGTTTTACCTTTATTGTTTTGTAATTCAAGCTATCAGGTGGAGGAGTTAATTTGATACAGAAGTGTCTTCTATCCTCCTTTGCTCCAAAACCATCTGTTTAAAAAGAATAGGTATCACCATTCTTTTGAAATGTTTGGAAAGCCAAGAGTGTCAAAAAATGAACAATGCCAGTTGTTCTATCAGCAGTGTTATAATATCTTCATCTTATATGTTTAAACGAGGTAGTCAAATACAAAAAAGGAAAAATTGTTATAAAATTGAATTGAGCAGAGCCTCTGTGAATCTTTAGCTTTATCTCTGTTGTTTGCTTTTTTTTGACACTGAAGGATTTTTATTTTTAGTTCAACAGAAATAAATGATAGAGTTGCCCAAGTGAAGAAAGGGAAGATAAAGCTTTTAACGAAATTAGAAATTACGCCTTTTAATTATTAGGTCTTGCCATTCTTGTAGGGTTAGTCATAGATAACTGTGGCTGGTGATGGTGTCATTGATGATGATATTAGCAATGGTAACTATGGGTTGATGATAATAATAATCATTGTAGAGGCAGCAACTTTGTGCTTTATTGGTTTAATATGGCCTACCAAACAAAATGACACAGCTATCATTCAATACTACATGTATTTACAGTGTTAAAAGTACAAAAGAATAATAATAATAATAATAATAATAATAAGGATATTAATAATGATAATGATAATGATACTATTGATAGTTATAAAATAATAATAATGATAGCAATAGTATCACAAAAAATGATAGTAATGATAATAATAATAATAATAATAATAATAATAGTAATAATGACCATAAAAATAGTGATGATAGTTGTCGTGACGATTGTCTATGTGATAAGAATGTGAATTCTGAAAGAATTAGTGTGATATACAATATTTATGCTTGTAGATGTTTATAAATGCAGATGCAATCTAGCACAGAGAGCAGAGATGTGGTGTTTGTGTAGTGCAAATTTTGTCACAGCCGGAAACTTCAAATGGTATAATTTGGTTCACAATGTAGTCTTCACGTTAGTTTGTCACGAGGGGGGGGGCAATTAATGAATTAGTTGCAGCATTGCTTTACAGTGTAATAAATCTGTTTCATTCAATATGTGTCTATCTCATTCTTCACCAACTTACAATGAGAAGTCACCAGGCTGTGATCCTTTTCGACAGTGTTGCATTTTGTGAAGTTTATGTCGTTCAGTGTAATACTCTCAACCCATTAACACACATGAACAAGTGGATTTGTCAGCTTACAATAGAAGATAATATTTAAAACATTTCAGACCCATGGTTGCCTGGACAATATTTATAAGTCCAGCTGGCTTTTCCATTGCATTGTAAGAAGCTCCAAAGTAATAGTTCCCAACTGTGACATTCACCTTTCAACTTTCTCTCTGTGCAGCCGCAAGAAGAGGAAGAAGCTCCCATGGAGGAGGAGGAGGAAGATTTGTCAGAGGCTGACCTTCCCAGAGTGCAACAAGAGGTCAACGCCCTCCAGGCTCAGTTTGACCAGGCTGTGGTGGAGAAACACTCACTCCAGATGGAGCTCAAGTCCATGAACGAACGGCTGAAAGCTGCAGTAGAAATGGTGGATAGGTAAGAAGCTATTGATGGTCAGTCAACTTTGGATGAATGTCATTGTTAGCATTGTACTAATTCAATGATTGGAGCAACCAAGCCAGAGCTCTTTTCATGAAAGTATTTCAATAAATGGAATGATTGTTTAAAATGTTTGAATTATTGATAAACCACAAATGCAAAAAACAAGAAACATACATCTAATAAGCAAATGTGAAATTAGTGTCAAACAGAGCTTCTTGAGAAGTGTTGTTGGTGTTTTTAAAGTTATCAGGTTTGTATCGACTGCTTAGTGTAAGACTCTGCCATATGCCATTTTGAAAAGTGACATATGATGAAGTCTTGCACTGAACAGTCTATATACAAGTGCATCCTTATTGCAAGCACCGTCTTGGAGAAACATATTGACTGCTAAAAAACTAACTTTGTTTTGACACATCCCAGTGAAATAGAGAAAGGTTTTGCAAAATTATCTTATACCAGGCCCATCAGTCGTAAGATTAAATAAAGAATCAAGTTCCAAAATTTTAAAATCATCTGTATATTTTGATTGTATTGAGCACATTCCTAGTAGAAATGCGCTGCATGAATTCAAAGTACTATGTTATCATTTATTATTATTTGTTTTGTTTCATTTTTCCAATAGCTTGAAATCTCAGGAGCAGAAGTGGCGGCAAGATGTGAAGGACAACGACTGCAATGAACTTCTGTTGGCAAACTGTATCACAGCTGCCGGCACTCTCACATACTGTGGGGCTGTCAATATAGACACCAGGTACTGATATCATTTCACATACAGCATACACTACCTGTCAGTTGACTTTGGATGTCTGTAGTAATGCTCATGCTGATGTAATAGATTGAGCAAGCCAAACCTATCTAAAAGTATTTCAATAAACTGAAATATAACAAAAATGGAGGATTACACCAGTATAAAAAAAACAGCTGTAATAAGAACCTATAGAGAAGATTTAAAAGAAAGATTAGAAAAGAATCCTTTCATTTTTTTTTTTGCATGCTCTTAAAGTTTGTGTGCAGTGATATGTACGTGATAAATTACATTATAACATATTTTACTAAAACATAAAGGTAATTCATTTATTATTGAAATGCAAAAATATCTGGGTGCATGATTTGCTCAGGTATATCATGCTGGACAACAATGTTGAAGAGCCTGGTCTAAATTCTTAATGAATTGTTCTTAAACTTGGATAGTCTCATACAACAACGTGTTTTCATCCTGGACTACATCGTATGCATGCAGATACACACATGCACACATATACATCAAGGCTCCCCTTTACGCACAAATGTGCGTATATTACACATTAAACCTGCAAATTACCCCCTTTAAGTTTTGGTTGTGCGTGAGCTTTACTCTTTATAATTTTGTTTTGGGGGTTTGCGTACGCTTTAAAACGTAAGTGGTGTGCGTCTGGCAAGCATCATTTCCCCCCTTCTCTGTCCCAAAGCCGAGTCAATGATTTGACAACACACCCACACACATGCGCGACAGTCACCTTCTGTGTCAGAAGTCGACTTGTCGACCTACTTAAAGTTAGTAATTATCAGCTGGGTGCAGTTTCCGGTCGCTCACTTTTGCCGGTGTCGTTACGTCGTGCCATGAGTTTACCCCTGCCGAGAGATTACTCTAATTCTAGTCAATATTACTCATTTATTTCTTCAATTAATTAAAATCGTTAGCGTTCAATCATAGTCATGGTTACTCAAGGTGTGTCTGTGTGAATGTGCGTGTGAGTTAAATATTTGCAAGCAAAAATTCTTATTGTTAGATTATGAGATATTGACTTGTACCCTTTAAGTTTCTAAAACAAGGGTTTAAATACCTCCTTAAAATAGTAAAACAAAGGGTGAAGGAACCTCTTAAGTTGGCCTGAAAAGGGGAGCCCTGTACATGCACGCGGGCATACACACATGCACACATGTGTGCGCTCACACACATGCACATACACACACACACTTACACGTGCCCGTGACACACACACACACACACACACACACAGACACTCCCTCACACACACACACACACACACACACACACACACGCACACACACACATACACGCTTATATATACACACACACACACACACACACATACGCACACACACACACCCACACACACACTAACACAAACAGACCCACACATGCACTTGCACAAACACACATACACACGCTCCCTTACATACCCCCCACCCGTCCCCTCCCCACAACACACACACACACACTGTGATCAATTTCTATCAACAGACGTCGTATGGGCGAGTTCTTCATGCAGGTCTGTGAGCACCATGGCCTCCCTCTGCACAAGAACATGTTGTTCCGCAACTGTGAGCTCATCGACTTCCTGTACACTCCGGTAGGTCATACTACTTACTTTTACTTTTTCATCCTCTGTTGCCGTTGGGCGTCGAGGGGAGATGCAGTTTTCTATGGTAGGCCAGCTCCGCAGCTCTTTCAGTTGTGATGTTGTGTTTTCTCAGGGTTTCCTTGACCCCCTCGATCAACCTTTTGCATGGCCTTCCTCTTCTTTTATAGCCTGAGTGCTTGGTGTTGTAAGCTCTCGAGGCTGGCTGGTCAGGTGACATGCGTAACACGTGGCCAAACCATTTTATCCTCTGTCTTTCTATGTCTTCTGATGTAAAGGGTTTTGCGGAGACATTTCATTTTGCATGCAGTGATTTTGCTTTCATGGGTTTTGCTTAAAGTCCAGGTCTGGCACTGATAACATAATGTTGGTATGAATATTGAGGTTATAAGCTGTCTCTTTGTGTCCATGTAGATGCTTGGATGAGATAGGAGGAGGCAGGTCATAGACTACTACATATTACACTCAAGAGTGGCATTGGTGGCCTAGTGTTTAGGCTACCAGACTCATAATCGTGAGGTTGTGGGTTCGGGGTTCGAGCCGTGGGCTCGACGTTGTGTCCTTGGGAAAGGCACTTTACACGAATTTTCCTCGCTTCACCCAGGTGGGAATGGGTACCCGGCCATAGACAGCAAAAGATCTTGTCTGTATGATAGTGTTTTAGCGCCTATAAATGGCCGCTTGCACTGTATGTTTCCCAGGAAGTTGAGGTTGTTGCAGAGTGCTCTCAGGTGTGCTGGGGTAATAGTGTCGATTGTGAAGCGCATAGAGCTTGCTGTTGAGCTGGGATTTGCGCTTTACAAATGCTATTTATTGAGATGTAATATAAATCTTTTGTGTTTACACGTATGTGTGTGGGGGAGGGGGGGTAGTAGATAGAAGGTGGAGGGGAGATGTCGGAGTGGGGAGAGGGGAGGTGGGGAGGGAAGTGAGGGGGGAGGGGGGAGAGGGAAGTTGGGGGGGGGGGTCATTTATTGAATAATTTGAATTATGAACTCAATATTCATGTAGTATCTGGCTTGCCAAATGTCCTTGTCTTCCCAGAGTTTTCCCAGATTCAGTACTTGAGAATTTGAGAGGCCATTTTAACACACAACACCCAAACCAACGGGGAAAAGAGACCCATTAGTCACATACATCAGCGTTGACTCTCAGCTAAAAATGCAAATTTAAATAACATTATGTTAAACAAGATGTTGATTCCGTTTCATACTAGAACGAAAAAAAGCATAGTTAAGTCAGAAATAATGATAGGACTGATATCTGTGGTGCAATTGTCAGGCTCTTTGCCATTGCATGCTGGAGATGTGAGTTTAGTTCTTGTACGAGGAATTTATTCTATCAAGCATTTTTGTCTGTCTGCTGGTATGTTTGCTGTATCCCTCTCAGCTGGATTGGCACTGACTGACAGGGTCAAGTTAGCTAGCCATCTAATTTAAGTGAACTATATTGACAAGGGTGTAAAGTACTGTCAAACTTGGGCAGAACGGCTACCTTTTTTTTTTAGGAGAAAAAAAGCTGCTTTAGATAGGTGGCCATCTTACAAAGTGTTATTGTAATCTAAAAAATAATGTAGGGGGGGGGGAGTGGCCATTTGTATAGGTGATTATCTTATATGTGTCACAATGCGATGGAAGCATGCGCTTCTCAATTTTTTGACATGTGGGTTATTGGTATCACTTTACAGCTTGTTCACTTGTCTTGCTTTTGGTGTAAAAAATACTCATGTATCTTAAATAAAAGTTGAGATATTTGCGATTGAAGGAGGTGGGGGTCACCTGATTTAAGAGAAAATGGCCTCCAAAGTTTGGAGACTTCCAAAGTTTGAGAATCCTTAGAAACTGTAAATTTACATTTTTGTGCCTTAATTCCACATTTTTAGTGAAATCCACACAGAAATGTGTTTTTAAATGGACCTTTTAAGGTGTTGAGTCAAAAAAACAAAAATTCAATAAAAATTGCCAAACGGACAGTAAAAGTGCCAATTTCTTCAATTTCATTATTTTGACGAGCGCCTGATGTCACCCCAATGTTTCACATATTATTATATATACAAGTTGTTGTTAGAGCAGGTTGGACTGTAATTATAATCTATGAGTCACTAATGAGGAAAAGATGGTCACCAAATCTCTCCTGTTTCTCTCCCCAGCTGGACGTGATCCATCTCCAGAGGAAGCAGCTGCCAACCACCCGTCTCATGCTGGAGAATGCCTGTTTCCTGATGCAGGAGGCCAGTACAACTGCCTGGCCTCTCATCTGTGACCCGACCTCCAGGGTCATCGATTGGCTCAAGTTCTTCTACACCGGCCGTGACTTGGTGGAAGTCAAATACCATGTACGTTCCTTACTGCGGAAGGGAAGAAAAGAAAAGGAAAATAATTATTTAATTTTTCTTCTTGGGGAACTTTGAAACAATGACTTTTACATTTTATTTGTTAGATTTATTTACTTTGTTGGGGAAGGTGAGCAATTTCAGTATAATGACTCCCTCTCTCTCTCTCTCTCTCTCTCTCTCTCTCTCTCTCTCTCT